ATGTTATAATTGCATTTCTGCTGCATGGTTTGGGGTTCTCAGGAGTTGCCGTGGTCTCTGAGACTTCTCTATAACGGAAGAAAATACAAGAAATAAAAGAAAACGAGTAAAAAATTACAGCAAAATCCGTCTTTCTTCCAATAACTTCAAACGTGTCTCTGGGGAAAGTGTTTTTGCAGGTGGAGGGGATCTGCCTTCTCCCGGCTCTCCACGTGCAGTGACCTCAGGGTGGGCTGCGGATGTGTGCGGGAGGCTAATTATAAAACGTGTCCATGTAGCACGTTCAGCAGGTGGAGTCCTGACCTTTGGGCTGCGCAGCCTCCGTTTCTCTCTTTTCATCGTATTGTTGAAAAAACAGGAAAGCAATTAGAGAGAAGGAGGTGCAGCGAGAGGGGGCGCAATGTTGAACGCTTAAATAATTATGTCTGGATACAATATACAATAAAAGGAACCAATTAGATTATTAGGAAGTAGACTTTAGCAAACAGTAATTTAGTTTGGCACAGAGTCAGATTATGAAAAACACAACATTCTAAAGTCGGGTCTACTCTTGTTAGTAACATTTAGAATGATGTATTTATTTGTTTGTATGGATGGACTACGCTTCTGCTGAAGGACACCTGCCCTTTCTTTGACGGGGATCAAGGAAGAATCTATCCATCTACAGCCAGAGAGAGAGAGAAAGAGAGAGAGGGCCAGAGAGAGGCAAGAGAGAGACCAGAAATAGAGGTCAGAGAGAAAGAGAGATAGGCCAGAGAGTGAGAGAGGCCAGAGAGGGAGAGCAAGAGAGTGAGATAGAGAGCGAGGCCAGATAGAGACCAGAGACAGGCACGAGTGAGAGAGAGAAACCAGAGAGACCAGAGAGAGAAAGGCAGAGAGAGAGAGAGGCCAGAGAGACAGAGAGACAGAGAGAGAGAGAGAGACAGAGAGACAGAGAGAGAGAGAGACAGAGAGACAGAGAGACAGACAGAGACAGAGAGAGAGACAGAGAGAGAGACAGAGAGAGAGACAGAGACAGAGAGAGAGACAGAGAGAGAGAGACAGAGAGAGAGACAGAGACAGAGAGAGAGACAGAGAGAGAGACAGAGAGAGAGACAGAGACAGAGAGAGAGACAGAGAGAGAGAGACAGAGAGAGAGAGACAGAGAGAGCATCACTGGTGTAAGAACTCCAACTATCCGTAACTTTCAAAACAGAAGTTGTGTCTATGGCTTTCATGCACCTGTCCTTCTGCTTCCCCGGAGCCAGGTGTCCTGCTTTGCATATGCTCTGTCCTTGTCGCAGCAGGTCAAACCCCACTTGACTCGCACAGTATAAAAAGTGAATACATAAATACTCAAACAGAACCGAGGTTATGTCTAAAATACAGACACGGGCTCCAGTGTCGGGGGCCGTTTCCTGACCGACAGCTGATTTTAAACTTAGAGCTTTTAAACAGGAAACATTACTGAGGCCCGGTGAGGAGCAGATATAGCACTGGTCAGCCGAAAAATAAAAATAAAATAAAAAGAGCAAACGCGAAAGAGGAGAGAAATAATATATTGCCAGCAGAGGACAGTGTAAAAGGACATGTCAGCTCAAGCCGGGGCACGTTCATACAGGCTCAGAACCAGTCTCTAAAGAGCGTGAGAGCTGACAGAAAGAAGCAGTCTTATGTAAATGTGCAGCTAGATTAACGTTTAGAAAAAATATAGGTCGAAAAAATACAGTTTTGGGGAGGATTTTTGATGGGTATTAACTCGAAAAATGTCTTGTTCTTATTGGAGAATGCATGAAACCCGCCAGTAGGCCGTCAAAACTGCACAAAATATTAAAATAGAACTAGTATTGAAGCTAGATACTAAACTGACTGGGTAAACTTACTATTTAAAATGACATTAACGTGGGAAAAATGCTATTTCTTGAGCATAAAAAACAGGTATACCAGAATAACTTGTTTTGCTCAATAAAACTATTATTGAGGTAAAAATTCAAGTTTATTGTCAGAAAAGCATTTATGAATAATATCTCTGGTATCAAAATTGGTACAGAGAACAGATTGCTTGAATATGGCAGTATCTTTCAGAGGAATCAAGTATCTATACGTTTAGTTTTGAGGCAAGGTTAGTGTTTAGTGATGGACAAAAAATGTGAAAAAAATCAAAAAGTATCACCCCCCACAAAAAAGAAAACCATTTTATATTGTTAAAATATTATTGTGTATTAGTATATAAATTGAGGTAAAATAGGCAAAGGCAAGTTTATTTGTATGCCGCAGTCCATACACAAGTAAATGAATCAAAATCATAAAGAATCACAGTAAAAACAGCAGGAGGCAGGTCCCTGTGCTCCTCAGTATGAGTTTCTGATCACAAACTTGTTGCTTGTTTGGACCAATGATCAGTAAGTTATTATTTTTATATACCGCCTTTCACAGAACAGAGTCACAAAGCGGTTTACAAAATGTGTCTTGTTCTGCCGCTAATTTGACACTGGCTAAAAACAGAGCCGCGGTGTGTAGTCTGCCTCGCATTTAAGCATCATGTGACCAGGGCTGAAGACCAGGAGGAGAAAAACTAAATTATAGGGAGTCCTGGGGGAGTGCAGCTGGAGCGGACACACCCTCTGGAGACGAGTGGTCATCAGCTCAAACAGTAAGAATACAGTCGCCACGGGCAACGACTACATCATGAGAACCGGAGTTATGCGTTCCCCTTTTTTCTCACGTCTAAATGAACGAGCAAAGATAAGAATCGAGACGTATTAGTATGAGCAAAAGGGATGTGTTCTGTTTCCACTGCGGCTACAAGAGGAAGCACTGAATACATCATAAAACAATAAAAGTAAACAGAGAGAGAACACTATTTCATGGGTTATTATGGTGTAGTTAAAGCTGGGCAACCTATTTTAACCTCTAAATATGTATTGAAATCCATCTCTCTGGTTCACTATGTCACTATAGTTCACATGCATGTATTTTTGCCTTTGTTGCATCTTAAGAATATCTATTTTAAAGACAGAAAAGTGACTCAGCCAATCAGCTCACAGCTCAATAGGGACTCACAAATCTGATCTGATTTGTTCATGATATTTTACCTTCAGCTATAGATTTTATACCACTTTCTATACAACTACTGTCAATGCATTATATGGGCTAGAAAAGATATTGAAGAAAAACAGTGCATACAACTTGGATAAGATCATGTATGGTTAGTAAGTAAAGGAAACCAAAGGATATCAAAGCATATACCTGATCATATCTATACTGTCTGTTTAAGCCCATACGAATATATGTAATCTAGAGAGACATGTTGACAACGGAGCAAGCATTTCTAAACAAACAACATGAGCCATTTCAATAGTAGAGTTATAACAAGTCCCAAAATGATCTTTGACAACCTTATAAGAGGAAACTGGTGACCGTGATGTCTGAAATGCGCTGACACAGTTAATGGGGTGTGTAATGCAATTTAATGTGGCTTACTACTGGCCAGCCCTGCTCTGTAATGTCCCTGTTATGGCTCAAGGAAAACAGTGCATTATATTAAACAGGCTTTTATGTGACCCCCAAGGACACTAACGGACTGCTGGATCTACCACTCTTTATGCATTGACTGTATACACCCCCTGGAGAGCAGCTTCAGTGACAGACTGATCCAACCTCGCTGTGAGAAGGAGAGGTTCCTACAGCTGTCAGACTGTACAACAAGCAACTGATGAACACTGCCGTCCTGGCCTCACATGTCAAACATCTGTGCAATAATGTCAGTCGATAAAGCCACATGATGCTAACATGTACAGTAGTATCACATGATGCTAACATGTACAGTAGTATCACATGATGCTAACATGTACAGTAGTATCACATGATGCTAACATGTACAGTAGTATCACATGATGCTAACATGTACAGTAGTATCACATGATGCTAACATGTGTAGTATCACATGTAACATGTACAGTAGTGTAATGTCACATGACATGTACATACTCAAACATGTACAGTAGTATCACATGATGCTAACATGTACAGTAGTATCACATGATGCTAACATGTACAGTAGTATCACATGATGCTAACATGTACAGTAGTATCACATGATGCTAACATGTACAGTAGTATCACATGATGCTAACATGTACAGTAGTATCACATGATGCTAACATGTACAGTAGTATCACATGATGCTAACATGTACAGTAGTATCACATGATGCTAATATGTGCAGTAGTAACATCACTCTGAACATTTGAACCCTCATAGCTAATGAGGGTTCAAATGTTCACAGTCATATTATAGTATATTTATTATATTCTTGCACTAGAGTTTATTACAGATGTATTTATAGATATATTAAATACAAGCATATGTATTTATTGGCACTTGGAGTATACAGTTTAGAGCTTATATGTGTGTCTTTCATACTTTCTTTACAAAGCTAAATATAGAAATGTTATGTTGTGTGAGGCTATTTTTATTGTGTACAGTTGGTCTATGCTTAAATTCACTTATATTATGTTGTGTACTGCTCATTATTACTGTTCTGTAACTTATGATCGACCCTGACATTTCCTCCACCGTGGGACGATTAGACGATCTCTTAATCTTAATCTGAATTCAAGATGACGTTAGTTTTGACGTGAATATTTTTCCCTGCGTAAAATACAGCACCAACTTTTCCCTCTCCGGTGAAATAAAACCAGCATGTGGATCCTTCGAGGCAAAACACACAGGCCTTTCCACCAGCAGTGATAGTGGCAGTTTGGACCAAAACAAGGAACAAAAATATAAAAGTAGACACACCCAATGCAAAAGGAATTAATGTGGATCTTAGTGAGTGAGAGCGGGAGACTCAGGCAGGCATAAAACTGGGAAAAAAAACACAAACGCGGCTCCCTGCTCCGGGTTTTGGGCGGACTCCAGTTTCTTTATCCACATTTCCTGTCCCAAGCGAGCACTCACAAAAGGCGACAAAAGGCGACAGTGTGGGTCAGTGCAAAGCCTGCCGGGCACTCACTTACCTGCACATAATTGTTCTCGCAATAGTCCGCTACTCTGGTGAGGTTCTGGTAACTCTCCACAAGCGCTCGTTTCCCGGCTGGAATCTCCTCATCTAACAACATTTGTAGCTCTGCCATCTTGACATCTCCCCGCAGAGGCTCCTGTCCCTGTGCCGTGGTCTGTGATTGAAGCCACCAGCGCCGCGGTCTCTCGTCTCTGCCCTCGAAAACCAACACACACAACTCTTTGGCAGGCTGCAGTGCGGCGCTTGTCCTGGTGGTGTCGCTGTGGGGCGCGCGGCAGAGATCGTGTGTGGAGGGGAGGAGGAGTCACTGCGGGTCTTTTTTGGGAGAAGCGTGGATCTGTCAGGGGAGAAGTTGGAAGAGGAGAGGGGAAGTGAGAAGAAGAGAGGAGAGATGAGATGAGCGAGGAGTGGGGGGAAAATAGAAGACGAGAAGAGAGAGGATTGAGGAGAGAAGGGAAGTAATGAGAGAAGAGAAGAGAGAGGAAAGGAGAGAGGAGGAGATTAAAGTAATTTACACATTTTAATTGTCTCGTTTTTTTCTATGTTTTTTCTATATTTGCTTTTGTTATTTTCACATTATAACAAAAGTTAGTATTAGCTTCATTATTATTATTACTATTATTCATGGGATCGCGGATACAAACTGTCAAAATGAGTTCCTTCCGCGGAGTGGCTAAGTAAAATACTGTTTATTATATAATTATTATTATTATTAATACTGTATATACTGTAAATGCAGTAGTCAAAATTATTTTAATAATGTAAATTCAGCTATATTGAAATAGTAATGTGAATGACTACTTGAATACTACTCGAATGAAATCTTTCAATCAAGTGTTATCATTTCATTTAGACATTTTGAACATGTACACACTACAGTCAAGACATCGCTAGGGGGCGCAGTCACACCCAATGAATAATACAATTAGATGCAAATTGACAATACACAGTTAAACAGAGTAGTAGAGAAAACGAAAAGAACGTAGAAATCAAGTTGGAGATAGTTCTTGAAATTTCACATTTTTGAGAACGAACTGCACTAGGATTTGTATTTGTTAATGAAACGAGGAAAGAAGGGTTTATTTCGTCTCCAGTTACGGCAATACGCGTGATACTTAACCAAAAGACAGCACCATAACAACAGATTCTGCAGGATCAGTTTTAAGAGTATACAACTTATTTAGCAGCGCGATAAAGACCGAAGTGAGTTGTCTTACGTTCACTATCCATGATCTAATCTTTGTAGTGAACTGGGAGGAGCTTGAGGCGGCGTGTAGGAGGCGGACGGGACTTGTAGTTCGATAGAAACAATTTAGCAACACAAATCTATACGTTTATTTATCTGTTATAAAGACAGTGCTGTTTTAACACATCAGTTTGAGTTGATTTTCCACAAGATTCTAACTTATCTTTTACAGAACTACGCTTAGCTATAATCACAACCAAGGGAACTACATCTCCCAGAATGCTTCCTTCCTGGTTGATCATACGGTTCATGGCGACTCTTGGTAAGCTTCAGACAGGACGCCCTCAGAGAAACAGTTAGGGCAGCGATATTACGGTAAGTGTCATGTCCTTTTCAACCCTCTCCTCATTCTGTCTTCATAATTCGTATGCAATATGCTACATGCTATGCTAGCAGCCCGGTCGCGTGGGGAATGCAGCTAGCACACAGTCTGAGAGCTTATAGAGCGGTGATAACGCTGTTGTTATGATGCACTTGTTTCTGCTGGATAAGTCAGCTTTGCGGTGTTTGACTCTTATGCCTCGGACTATGTAATCATTCTTGTATTTATAATATATCCTTAGTCTCCCTCTGTTGTCACTGGAGAAGGCAGCGACTTGACAATGGAGCTGGAGAGTGTCAACAACATGGAGGAAGACGGGCGCCTGACCCAGCTGAGGTTCGAGGCCGCTGTCCGAGTCATCAAGAGCTTATCCCCGGATGGTAAATCACACAAACAATGTCTGTATTGACCAGTGCAGCTCACACGGAGCCATGGGGGCCCTGGACATTGCAACAGCTTGTTGAACTGTGGCTGGATCTTATGAGACTTACCAGCACTAATCTACTTACAGTGTGTAGACTTTCCCTCATGAGACCCAACAATATTTCCTAAAAAAAAGTTTAGTTAGACTCAAGGATAGTCCCTTTAATTGAATTTAATTTGTTGAGCGTTTTGTTGTAATATATATGTAGTTTTATGTAGATCTGTAAAGGCTAGATAGAAATGACACTACAGGAAGCAATTGTTTTTGGCTTTTGCACATGTGTCATCACCAAGTGTTTATGCCCGTAGTAAGTGTGGGTGTGTTTATGCCTGTACAGGGAAGTATCTTATTCATCTTCTCTGAAACTATGTAGACGTTGACAATGGATATTGCTAAATTGTGTGAAAAATATAAAGATAATAGCTAATTGTTTTGTTTTTCTGGAGCTTTTTAGTTAGTTAATTTCTCAGTTCATCACCGTTACACATGTGATCTAACCTTCTAACCTCTGTCATGTCTTTAATCAGTTGACATAATATTGCTTGATACTGTTTAAATTGACACACATTTCTGTTCTTTCCAGGCCCATTTCAGCCTTCCAATGACATGATGCTGAAATTTTACAAATTTTACAAACAAGCCACAGTGGGACCATGTGACATACCTCGGCCTGGGTTCTGGGACGCAGTTGGAAAAGCAAAATGGTATGAAACACAATTATACTTCAGGATAAACCCAACCTGCCCCTGACCCCAGATATCTGTGTTCTGTGGTCACTGAATTTGTTCTGTTGACTTCTTCTTCCGGGTTTTTCTTGAGGCTCAGGTTCTTTTATGTGATGTCTGGGCTGTGAGACTGCATTCCCATTACAAAGTCACCAAGTTGCCAATCCTGAGTCTCTTTTACTGGTGTGAATTTATAACTCAATTCATCTCCAGCTCGGTTATTTTAACCTTTGGACTCTTAGATAAGCAGACCACAGTAACCCTGAGTAAACTGCCTGTGTACACACAACATAAAGTGACCTAAAATGGCCTGTAATTTTGAAAACACTATTTATGTATAAAGTTTATACAATTCTAATTTATGTTTATGTTGCTATAGGGACGCGTGGGACTCTCTCGGAGATATGTCCAAAGAGAACGCAATGGCTGCTTATGTGAATGAGATTAAGCTGGTATGTTCTCTCTCTCTCTCTCTCTGGTCTCTCTCGATTGTCTCTTGGGTCTCTCTGGTCTCGCTCTGGTCTCTCTCTCTCTATGTTCTCTCTCTCTGGTCTCGCTCTGGTCTCTCTTTTTGGTCCCTCTCTTTGGTCTCTCTGGTCTCTCTCTCTGGTCTCTCTCTCTGGTCTCTCTCTCTGGTCTCTCTCTCTGGTCTCGTTCTTGGGTCTCTCTGTCTGCTCTCTCTGGTCCCAATCTTCTCCCTCTGGTCTCTCTCTCTCAGGTCTCTCTGGCTTCTCTCTCTTGGGTCTCTCCCTACTCTCTTTCTTAGGAGAAACTAATCTAACAATCTATAATAGTCTTGATGGGGGACAAACAAAATTCTGTTCAGTTTTGTGATGCTTGTTGTGCCTCTAGTCTGTTGTATGTGCATAAAGTAAGTGATGTGCGTATGTGTATTTTGCTCTAGTTTCCTTCATAAAGTGACCTCTCTGCTTGTGAAATAACTTGTTGGAGTGTGTTTTGCCTCAGATCCTGGAGGGAATGCCCATGACCGGAGAGGTGGAGGAGCTGCTGCATGTGCTGGGGCCGTTCTACGAGATGGTGGACGAGAAGAAGAAGATCTCTCACATATCGGACTTAAGCTCAGGTGATTGTCCGTCTCGCTTTCTGTTTTCACCCTCTCTGTGGCCTTTAACTTGTTCTTGTTTTCAAATTCGCTTTTGGCCTGCTCAGCCCGTTTGACTAAGTTTGCTAGGCAACTGGAAGGCAAGTAAACATGTGTAATATCCCGTCCCTTGTGTGGTGCTCTAGCTCTGATCCCTGAAACTAGTGATAAGGTGATATACAGTATAGCTTGGACTAATCTACCACAACCCTCTAATATTCTTCCCTGTTGATGTTGTTTTTTAGAATGTACATGTGTTTTTTATGAGTCCTTAAGTCTAGTCTGAAATCTAGTCTTAACCATAGACTGTAAATATTAGGTCCTAACTTCTATGCCTTTCGTAGATCCTTTCCTCTTTCCCTTTGCACATATCAAGTTTTCAGATGCATGTTTTTAGACCAGGCATGTCCAAACTAAGGCCCTCTTTGTCATTCTTTGTAGCCCTCTGCCTGGCTAAAGTAGTCGTTGAGATCAGGAACTCAAACTCAGAACCTCTGGAATCCCGTTGTTTATTTTGTTTTTATGGAGAGGCCTGTGTCTTTGATTGTGTTCCAAAATTCTCATATATGTTACTAATGTATCTGAGGTTGATGTAGATACAGGTAGTTAACGCTAATAGATTTAAGTTCTGTCAAATGTGACTCATTATGGACTGAATCATACCAAATATAAAGCCCAAAACAGCCCAAATACAGTCAAAGCAGTTTGAAAAATCTGGGTTGTCGACAAGTCTAGTGAGGTATTTTTACTAAAACGTTTGGACATTTGGACCTGTTTTTAGACTAATATTACAGCTTTAGAATCGCTTCTTCATACAGAAAATCGGGCAATCGACAAACTCCTGGTTTTACATTACCCTGTCTGAAGGTAGGGTCACTAGAATGTTGACCTTTCACTAGAACAAAAAAGCAAACTCAAAATCAATGTTTAAATTTGATGTCGCAACCAATAGAAGTTTTGTACACACCAGAGTCTTTGACCCACATTACACGATGCATTACAAAGGCCTCTCTGTGGCGCAGGCTTCGGGACAATGATGAATTCAGTGCAGACCAAAAGTGTTGCAAAGGACATCGTGAGGAGTATGGAGTTGAATGGCACACTGGAGACCAAACGAGTGGCGAATGTGAGGGAGGTGTCGGACGAGGAGCTGCCGGAGGAGGCCGAGGAAGAGGAGGACGAGGTGTCACAAGACAACAAGAAAGGTGTGTGATACTCAGGATGTTTTTGTGTGACGAGTGGAAGACTGTGAGACTGAGTGTTTCGCTTTTAACATAGACAACAGATACGGGACTAAAAGAGAAAAGAGGAAGACGATTTATAAGTCTGTCTGTGTGTGTTGTGTTTGTCTGCCTGCCTGTCTCCGTGTGTGTTGTGTCTGTCTGTCTGTCTGTGTGTGTGTGTGTGTGTGTGTGTCTGCCTGTCTCTGTGTGTGTGTGTGTGTGTGTCTGCCTGTCTCTGTGTGTGTGTGTGTGTGTGTGTCTGCCTGTCTCTGTGTGTGTGTCTGTCTGTCTGTCTTCCTGTCTCTGTGTGTGTGTGTGTGTGTGTGTGTCTGCCTGTGTGTGTGTCTGCCTGTCTGTGTGTGTGTCTGTCTTCCTGTCTTCCTGTCTCTGTATGTGTGTGAGACTGAGTGTTTCGCTTTTAACATAGACAACAGATACGGGACTAAAAGAGAAAAGAGGAAGACGATTTATAAGTCTGTCTGTGTGTGTTGTGTCTGTCTGCCTGCCTGTCTCCGTGTGTGTTGTGTCTGTCTGTCTCTGTGTGTGAGTGTGTGAGTGTCTGTCTGCCTGTCTATCTCACTATGTGTATGTGTGTGTGTGTGTGTGTGTGTGTTGAACGGGCGAGAGTGTTTGGATCCAAATAAGCATCTACTTTGTCCGACCCCTTTTCAAACCGTGTGTGAGTGAAAGCTGTGATTAAAGCAACAGTCTAAATACCTCTGAGCTGTTTACCGTTATTCAAGCTCTGAGATTACTCTTCCTAAATGTGTTTCCTACAGAGAGGAGATCCCCAAAGAAGAAAGGCTCGGCCAGAAGACATTTGACCAACGGCAAAATGCTCAACGGTGGCCCTCACCTCACCAACGGGAACCATTCCAAAACTGCTCTGAACAGCGGAGACTCCCAGGAGGCTTTAGAGCTGGTGCTGAACGGACACCACGCAGGTACCACACAGAACCAGAACCAGACCTCCCCAAAAACTACGATTTCAGGTCTTTTTCCCAAATCCTGAATCTGTCTCAGCTCGATCATACGAATTGATTGATTGATTGTAATTATTTGGATCCCCTTTGCCTTTCATAAGTCGCCTTCTTAGGGTCCACTCTAGGGTTTAATCCCGGGATACGGGATTCCCGGGAAATCTGATGAAAACTATTTCCCGATTCCCGGGAAATGTTATGACGGGAAACGGAAAATGAAAGTAAAAAAAAAAATACAGTGCGCTCCTATTATAAAGCACGTGTATTGTTGTTCAAAGTTCAAACATATTTCATTTACAATCAACATGTCTACAGCTGAGAGGATGGCTCATAAATTGTGTTTTTGACAACAAATATGGGTCTTAATCGCGCTAAACCACGACTTGTAATGAGGCCAGGCTCAGGGTACGGGGCACATGTGAGCCCAGAATTTGGTTACGTCCAATTCTATCAGAAAGCTCCTTTCTTTTTTTCCATCTGCTAAGGGCAGGAACAGGTTTGGCTAACATACAGATAACACATTTTTAAAATCATATAAAATGCATTTAGGGTAATGTTCTGCTTCCAGTGACGATAGGAATGATAAGGAAGAGAGGAGAAGAGTAAGAAGGTTGATATTAGAAATTGGATGCGCCCGAGAGCCGGCTGCAGCGAACACACGGAGGAGTTTATGGAGGTGGCACCCGTTTTGTTTTACGCTTTAAAACTTTTTGGGCTTATTTCCAAATGGGGGATTACATATCTGCGCTCAAACTATTATCTGGACTTAAACATGAAACTGGTCTGAACCGAAGTGGTCTGTGCTGTTCATTAATAACTAAGGTAAGACCCATAACACAATTGGAAATGTGCCTTTTACGAACTTTTGCGTTTTGTTCGAGCAAACAATGCGGGCCATGGAAAACATTCTGCTGTAGCCAAACTAATTGTGAATAAGCCGCTCTGCAGGTTCTGTTGATTTATATGATATATGTTGATATATGATATATGATCTGACAGGGCTGAAGTCAGTGCCTCCAAACCACACCGCACGTCACTGGTCGACAAGTGGATTGCGCAGACATTTAGAATCTCATAATAGTGAAATTCCTGAAGAAAGCCCATCAACAAAACGTCTGAAAACGCTATGGCTACTTTAGCAAAGCTAGCGCGTCGCTTGGTGAAACACTAGTGGAGATGGCAGCTTTTGTTGGATTATATATTTGAGTGATATCACACATTACTTGGGCTAAAAACAACAACTACAAACAACAGCTATTTCCCGGGATTTCCCGGGAAACGCGCCGTCTTTTCCCGGGATTTGATACGTCTCATTTTCGGGAAAAATATTAAACCCTAGTCCACTCCATACAGTGTTTTGTGTGACACTGTCGAGAAATGACGACAAGGCAGCGGAGATTTCACCTGAACCATGGTTTATTTAGTCCTTTCAGATCGAAGAAAAGTAGACAAGGCTTTTTATGGGATTTGTAACAATGTGGTCAGAGCAGAGACGTCATCACAGAGATATAAATGACTCATGCTTAAGATGTAGTATGTGGTAGTGACATTTTGGTGAGAACAAATGCTTTCAGTTCTTCAGATAATAATGTTTAGCAGTGATACAGACATAAAGGTCAGGTATCACACTATGTTACTCAGTCTATCATTGTAATTATCGATTAAATAAGTTAAATAAGGACATAACCATTTGTTGTGCATTTAACTTATTCATTATTTATTTTCATTATCTTATTCATTATTTATGTATTTATTTCAGTCTAATAATTGAACTGGGTATAATAACTTGTGAATATTATTTCAGGATTTCAATATTGTGTCATTGTGGCTTTAACATTAGTTATTCAGCTTATTTGTTCCTCTTGAAACAGATGCAGCGGGTCCTAACCACGTGGCCAGTGACTCCGACAGCGAGGTCTACTGCGACTCTATCGACCAGTTTGGGCACGAAGAGGTGAGTCTACATCCACCCGCCCATGCTAATATAACATCGGCCTTGAAACGTCTTAAGGTATGGGGAAAAAAATGTATGGTAGAATTTTACAGAACGCTCAAAGGCATTGTGAAACTCTAATTTTACTAACTGGTCACGTACTGTATTAGCCTAATGGAATGATCAACGCTTGCTTAGCCTGGTCTGGCACATGTTTGTGTTGTCACTGCTGAGGTCTATTGACACGTAGCTAGCCTAGGGGTCAACAGAAATGGGTCGTTGCGTGTTTTTTCGAATTTATGGCTACAGCACCCGAAATGTAAAGACTGGATTGCAATCTCAACCAATTAAGTAAGCAGTAGGCACACAAGTATACAAGCACATAAGGTTTAGGTCTTGGGAAGAAAAAAAAAACAGTTTAAAAAAAGTCTGGGAAAAGTCTAGCATTTTAATTTGGAAAAAGAGAAAGCCTCCTGATCGGTGAGTGTCCACATTCTATAGCTGATAATAGTAATGATGACCCGTGCGTTTGACTTTGAGTGTCTATGCTTCCCTCAGAACTCGGAGCATAACCAATCCATCGACGACTTGGAAGAAGAGGAGAGCCACAGTGGGGACCAGGCCGAGACCCAGGGAGTCCAGTGTGGAGGAGAGGAGGATAAGAGTGCAGGGTCCAGGCAGCGCCCCCATCTGGGGAAAGATCAGACCTGCAGCTCCAGCGGCAGACAAGCAACAGGTGTCACAGCTGTTTTTTTGTTTTTTTTTTTACAATAACACATGACTATTCTCAGATTCAGATTTATTTTATTTGCTATTTGCAGTAAAATCACCTCTCTCTTGCCTCTCTCTGAAGACTCTCTCTCTGGTCTCTCCCCTGGTGTCTCTCTTGTCTCTCTCTGGTTTCTCTTTGGTCTCTCTTTGGTCTCTCTCTGGTCTCTCTCTGATTGCTCTTTCTCTGATCTCTCTCTCTGATCTCTCTCTGATCTCTCTCTGATCTCTCTTTGATCTCTCTGGTCTCTTTGTGGTCTCTCTCTGGTCTCTCTCTCTCTGGTCTCTCTCTTGTCTCTCTCTGGTCTCTCTCTTGTCTCTCTCTGGTCTCTCTCTCTGGTCTCTCTCTTGTCTCTCTCTGGTCTCTCTCTGGTCTCTCTCTGGTCTCTCTCTTGTCTCTCTCTGGTTTCTCTTTGGTCTCTCTCTGGTCTCTCTTTGGTCTCTCTCTGGTCTCTCTCTGATCTCTCTGGTCTCTTTGTGGTCTCTCTCTGGTCTCTCTCTCTGGTCTCTCTCTTGTCTCTCTCTGGTCTCTCTCTCTGGTGTCTCTGGTGTCTCTGGTCTCTTTGGTCTCTCTCTTTTGTCTCTCTCTCTGGTCTCTCTTTGGTCTCTCTCTTTGATCTCTCTCTGGTCTCTTTCTGGTCTCTCTCTGGTCTCTCACACCTTGTTTAGAGCTCTCCTCTCTTTTGTCATGTTACCAAACCACACAGTCACAGAACCAACAAGCAAACTTTCAATATTGATCCAAGAGGCAATAAATGAGCAGCAGACCGACTCTCCACAAACACCTAGTTCATGCAGCAGCAGGTTACAATTCTGTATAAGTAAAAATGATACCATAAAATACACAATTCCCCAAACTCAGACACCTCCACTAGACTTCAACAGTTTCATTTCAGAAACACAAAAGAATTGGAAAAAACCGATTTGTGTATTGTGTTTCAGGCTCCTCATCACAAGGGCCTGGTTCTGGGCCTGTCGTTCCCTTGCACAGCGGTGGAGATGGAGCGGGGGGGCCCTGGGGGGGAGCAGGACCACCAGGCCTCAATCTGAACGAGCAGATCGTGGTGGCTTTGGCCCGATTACAAGAGGACATGCAGAGCGTTCTGGAGAGACTGCACACTCTGGAGGCCCTCACTGCCTCCCAGGTCGGTCTGGAACTGTCACACCTCTGTTCAAAAGGGAGCCATCTATGCATACACTGCAAAAAGTGATTTCCCAATGGGACAAAGCAAAATGATCTAAATGGCTTAGTCCCATAGTCAGAATGTGCTCCAATTAAAATAGAAACCACAAAATTCAAGCTATTATTACCTCATATTTGATCTTTTTTTGCAGTGTGAGCCATGTAGAGTCTGTGCTGTCCCTGTGATAAAAGGGATCACAGGGACAAATTCAATTCACAGTTGGCTAAATATGTAAACTGTTTATTATAGAGGGTCAACTATAAAGCTGGACGTAACTATTTTAACATATTTGTCGGTAAATTCAATTGCATTTAATTTTGAACAGTATATGATTAGTTAAAAAAAACAGATACACGAAAGGCTTACAATATGCCCTTTACCAAGACGTTATTTGAAAAGCCAGATTTAACTTTATTCACGTAATCTTATCATTGCCAGGCTCGCTCAACGGCTCTGTCTCCTTCTCTGCCCTCCACCCCCGTCAACAAGAGGAATCGGGTACAGCTCAGGAATAACCATCCAGATTGAGTCAAAGTCGAATCCTCTACAACATGTTTCTTGTTTGCAGAAACCGTCCTGGTGGCCTTTTGATATCTCCCCCACGAGTCTGGCCTTCGCTGTGATCTGGCCTTTTGTCGTGCAGTGGCTCTTACGCGTAATCTTACACCGAAGAAGGAGGTGAGCTTCTAAAGTTGAACTCTATCGACAGTGGAGCAACAAGGTCTTTAGTCAGATACAGATGGTCTAAGTCCACCCACTTTAACAGATGAGAGATCCCTGTCATTCTCTTCGTAGGTCGACCTCAACTATGAGAAAAAACAGATAATAACATTGGAATTATGGCGGAAAAAGTTGTGTAAAATCCAGATTATAAACCGCGGCTTTTTTTATTACTTTGAACCCTGCGGCTTATATAGCAATGTGGCTAATGTGTGTATTGTGGTAGTGTTTTAGCAGCTTTAGGACACTTGATAATTGTCAAAATAGATGAAGGTGCATGAGTCATTGAACTTGTTATTAACCTTGTCATTAAATCATGTTCTCTGTCTCTGTCTGTTCTCTGTCTCTGTCTGTCTGAAAACCTGCGGATTAGATTCAAGAGCACAAAAAAAGAGATTTTCTTTTTAAATGTAGGGGGTGCGGCTTATGTAAGTCCAGAATGTACTGGACGTGTTTTAGTGTGTGTCTGTGTGTGTCAGTGTGTCTGTCTGTGGGTGTGTCTGTGTCAATAACTAAAGTCCATCTCAATACTTTGTTATTTACCCTTTGTTGGCAATGACAGAGGTCAAATGGACTCAATACTTATTTTATACCATCATTTGCACAAAAAAGTCTCTCATAGTTGAAGTTTACCGTTGATGAAAATGACAGACATCTCTGATCTTTTGAAGTGGAAAATCACGATTTGTTGCTAACTAAATACTTTTCACTGCTTTATATAAACGCGTGGATTTGCTAAACATAGAGTGTTCCCGTTTTTTCTTACAGGAGGATCAATTGAAACCTGCCATGTAGAAGATTCATAGAAGCGTCCAGATGAGTTGTTTGTGGCTGAAAACTCCCGACTCGATTTTGCTTTTGCACTAAGGAAACGACACCAGGAGCATTTGTGAAGTCTGTTCTGTGGAAGCGGAGAGACCAGCGAGAGAACCCTGCACTGTCAGAATCAGTGTTTTAACGGTAGCTAGTGAATAGTAGCTTTTCAGATCATTTTTATGTTGGTTTTGTTGCACAAGAAATGTCCTCATAAGATTTTTTTTAAATAAGTTTTGCCGTATATTGTTCAATTTCATACATCCGATCTCCCACTAGTCGCCCATGCGATGCTGCTAAACAAAATAACTAGAGTAGAGCAGAGATTGAATGTAATATGTAAAATACTGTCATGTTTTTAAATGATTTCAAAAACTGTATTCAATATTTATTGCTTCTAGAGGCACTTGCTATGAAGGCAGCATCAGCCAGATTATGTACATTAACGGTTAGAATCTCGGGCATCGCTCCGTCGTCGGGTAATCCGGTGGTTATTCCCCAAATTTGGAGAAAGTGCCTCAACATCCGAAAGGTACAATCATGCGGCGTTTTGAGTTCACGCGCAGTGGAAGAGTAGCAGGACCAAAAACACACTCGTCCTACCTGTAGTGAGCCATCTGAGTTTGTTCCTATCTTTGTCGGCTTAAAGAAGCACTGTGTAGGTTTTTTGTTTTGCCCAAAGCTTAAAGGGGAGGTCAGCAACTACTATATTTCACTTTCAGAATAATGCGTAAATCCAATCCACTTTATCGTTTCATAAAATGTGCTGCACAGATCAAAGTAACATATTGAAGTAGATAAGTCTGCCAGATTGAAGTAAAAACAATTCAAATTAAATAGAAAATAAATAAAATAAAATAAAATAAAATAAAAACAAATACAATAAAATAAAGATTCAATAAAAACAAATTAAATAGATTACAAATAAAATTAAAACAACAAAAAATCTATTAAAAATAAATTGAATTAAAACAATATAAAATAAAAACAAAAACAGGTAAATTAAAATAAAAACAATTAAAATAAATTAAGAACAATTGAAATAAAATTAACAGTTAGATTAAAATTAAAATAAATAAATAATATAGTAAATCTAACAGACACTACTATCATGTACAGTAAGTATCTTTCTCTCTCATTAACATAACAACCAATGACGAGAGGCCTTGAGGTTTTAAGATAAGATAGTCCTTTATTGTCTCACAGGAAAAACTCGTCTTGGGATTTTACAGACACCAGACATTTACACAGACCACAGTAGACATTAGACCAAAACTTAAAATGGGTGAGAGCCACATCAGAGAGACCTCTAGGACCACAAAAAAACAAATTCTATACTTGCCTTTCAGTTCGGGATTTGAACTACTTTCGTCCAATCAGGAGGCTGCAGTGGTGAGTGTGGGCGGGTCTTACCAGTGTTTGTACTCAACCTTTCCCTTTTCTCAATTATAAAAGTGACAGGCATCCTCTTTAATGTCAACAAGTCTGAGTGTAAATATTTTGAAGTAAAACAGCTGCCATTGAATAAAAGATTTACTGCAGAATCTCCTTAAACCGTGAGATGCAGAAACATGTGCATAGTGCTTCTTTAATCCGGTTTTATTTTGTGTAAATTGTGTGATAATCCCTGTAAGAGTGTGTGACTGTTGTGTTGGCAGAGCTCTATATTGTATGCTATAGCCGTACAATGTGTGTAGACAAATGAGATGCAATATTTTTCATTGCGTTTGTGTGTTCTATAATATATTCATGATCTTTGGACAGAGGTTGCATCTGCACATTTCCAGAGCCATTATGTTTGAATAAAATAGTTATACCTTTCTACTGTAAAGGCGTTCTAACCCTCTGCCTGTGGATAGAGTGGTGCTTGCATGTGATAATCCAGACCTAATAAAATTTTCACAAATATCCAGTTTTTGTCATTACACACTTTAGAATGTTCAGAGTTCAGATATGTTTCCATTCTCTCCACACTAAGCTCCCAATCAACACCATCCATTCACTCATTACCCTTCATACCTATTTATTTACATGGTTTTAGTGGTAAGGGAAACCGGAGCACCTGGAGGAAACCTGCGCAGACACCTCACAAAGGCCTGGAGGAAACCTGCGCAGACACCTCACAAAGGCCTGGAGGTGGAACCGAACCCAGGACCTTTCAAGTCCTAACAGCTGTGCCACTCTAGTGTCCACTTGGCAGGCCCCATCTGCAGGTGGAAGCCAGATCCTGTAAGACCATTGAAGCTAAGCTGGGCAGGGCCTGGTTAGTACTGTGATGGGAGACTGCTGGGAATACCAGGTCCCACAGTGGAGCAGCTGTAAAATATTAAACTGTTGTGTCCTTAGGCAAAAGACTTCACCCACATTAGAATGAGTCTGGTGTTGGTGGTGGTGGCACTGATGGGTTGCCCCAGGGCAGTTGTGGCCACATTACTTATCAACATTACCACAATTATAAAACTGATGCATTATGACTATTAGTAATTAATTTAACAATGTAGAATACTTTCCCTTATCAACCGCTGATCTCAAAAGAAATAATGAGAGTATATATAGTTTCTCACCACATCAAAGACCTAGGACATAAAACATGGGAATAAAGACGTCAAATCATACAGAGTTTAATTTCAGTTAATAAAAATCTCAAAAACAATTTAAAACTAGTGTTGGCTTCAGCAAAACATCAACTTCAAACCAAAACAAGCACAATAATTAAAAAGAGCAGAGTACAGTCAAAATACAGTTTCCCCATTTCTATTTTAAAACAATCAGCAGATGTACATAAAAGAATACTGTAGTAGAACTCTTCAGCAGCAGCAGAGGCAGACCCCCTACCCATCTGTGGAATATGGAGCAGGCCAAACTAATACACACATAACACACTGCTAGAAAAGAACCAGTGCACGAGATCTACGACCAAACACAAATATTAAGATCAAGTTATTTTTTACATGTTTTTTTTGCCAAAGTTGGCCTTTTTAATGGCTTTAAAACCAGTGATTGCACAGTTGAGTAGAACAAGATGGCGGGAAGAGGCCTGAGGTAAAAAGTTTAAGGGAGAGAGATATCAAAGCACTAAAGGCTGAAGCCAGAGACGGCGATGTGCTGCGCGTTGTTCCTCGCATCGAAGTAGGAGGTGTCCGTCTCGTCTTCGGGCTGAGGAATGAAGGGCATGGCCTCGTTCTGGAGGTTGTCCCAATCCTGGTCCTCGAACAGCGGGTGATTCTTCAGTTCTGGAGCCAAAAGATAAGATAAGGGAAATTTCAATGTCACAGTTGGGCAGATTACAGTGCTGTGTTTACTGTAATGTACTGTTATGTACTGTCTATACTAGTGTGTTTGTTTCCATCTGACTGTACAAAAATACAAAAGAGTTTACTGCTGCTGGACACCTGAATTTCTCCAAACAAGGAGAAGACTGATCAGAGATGCAGCCAAGAGGCCCATGATCACTCTGGATGAACTGCAGATAACTACAGCTGAGGTGGGGATGGTGTGTTCAGGGTGATGAGCTGTGTTGCTTTTACGCCAAACATATCGTTTTGCATTGTGGCCAAAAAGTTGGATTTTGGTTTCATCTGACCAGAGCACCTTCTTCCACATGTTTGGTGTGTCTCCCAGGTGGCTTGTGGCAAACTTTAAGAGACTTTTATTGGATATCTTTGAGAAATGGCCACTCTTCCATAAAGGCCAGATTTGTGCAGTGCACGACTGATTGTTGTCCTATGGACAGACTCTCCCACCTCAGCTGTAGTTATCTGCAGTTGATCCAGAGTGATCATGGGCCTCTTGGCTGCATCTCTGATCAGTCTTCTCCTTGTTTGAGATGAAAGTTTGGAGGGACGGCTGGGTCTTGGTAGATTTGCAGTGGTCTGATACTCCTTCCATTTCAATATAATTGCTTGCACAGTGCTCCTTGAGATGTTTAAAGCTTGGGAAATCGTTTTGTATTAAAATCCGGCTTTAAACTTCTCCACAACAGTATCTCGGACCTACCTGGTGTGTTCCTTTGTCTTCATGGTTCTCTCTGTGCTTTAAACAGAACCCTGAGACTATCAAAGAGCAGGTGCATTTATACGGAGACTTGATTACACACAGGTGCATTCTATCCTATTCTATCATCAGTCATTTAGGACAACATTGGATCATTCAAAGATCCTCACTGAACTTCTGGAGTGAGTTTGCTGCACTGAAAGTAAAGGGGCCGAATATATATATATATTTTTTTTAAGTTTAAATTATCCAATAAATTTCGTTCCACTTCACGATTGTGTCCCACTTGTTGTTGATTCATGACAAAAAATTAAAATTTTATATCTTTATGTTTGAAGCCTGAAATGTGGCGAAATGTTGAAAGGTTCAAGGGGGCCGAATACTTTTGCAAGGCACTGTATCTAAGTATCTATTTAAGTATCTATCTTTTTAAGTATCTATCTATCTAAGTATCTATCTATCTATTTAAGTATCTATCTATCTAAGTATCTAAGTATCTACATATTTATCTATCTTCTTTCGTTCAGCACTTTGAGTTGCCTTGTGTGTATGAATTGGGCTATATACAAATAAACTTGCCTTACAGCAGAATAGAAAGAAAGAGAGATAAGAGCACTCATGGTTACACACACATCAAACAGAATCTATATTTAAGATAAAAGTGAAAACATAAACAAATCTATGAAATGTCTTTTAAATTATGCAGTTACACAATTATTATTTTTATAGGTATTAGTTAAAGTGGCTCCTAATGAAGTCAAAGTGACAAACAGGTTTTGCATGTTTGGACATAATATGTTTTGGAAGTGTTTGATTACTACAGTAGTTGACAACTATTTAAACTTTTCTGCAACTTTGGTTTTACGCAAATGTTATGCAAAAAAAAAACCCAGGGAACCGCATTGAAAACACAGAATTGTAAAAGTGCAGTGGCCCCTCACCCTTCAGACCAGCGCGCTTGGTCATGTCCATGGTCAGCAGGATTTCTATGGCACTTCTTGCGCGGGGACAAAGGGCCTCCTCCTCCTCCGGCCACGGAATGTCTGCTCATGACCACAACGAGCAACATTAGTGAGACACATTACGTAAACATCGACTGCTTTCAAGTTTTTAACAGTTTTAAAACATTGCTCCTCGTCAAAAACAGAGTTGGAGACTTGGGCCCCATACTGTATAGATAAGAAATGTCACTAATTATGAAATGAACGTTTTATTTTGTATTTTTAATAAACTGAACGGAGTGGTTTTTAGATCCATCCAGGCTAATTTCAGGAACTTCAGGCCTAAACTTGTGACTCCGCCCCTTCTGTTTAAAAACTCCAGTCTCATGCTGCGTTCATGCGTCTTCAGAAACTCAGAAGTTTGGACGTCACATGAGGAAAAATGGAAGCGGATACTCCCGAAATTAAACTCAGGAACTTGGGCTTTTTTGTAAACAGACAACATGGCGAGTGGGCGAGCTGGTACTACATTAGTATGGACGGACGATGAGGTTGAACTGTTGCTTCGGGTCACACTGGATTACAAAACCAACAAGCTACATTGTTGTTGTCATTATTTTCTGAGTGCGGCGCATGCGTGCTTTAACAAGAGGCGGGGCGATGACGCAAGCGTCTCAGAGACATTACGGAGAGGTAGTAACCACGGAGCGGCATATACAGAGTTTTGAAATCTTTCCACTCTGGGACCTACTTTCAAAAATGTTCGTTTACACCCCCCCAAAACGCCGGCCTCGTATGGACGATACACTGGATTGATAAAGTATTTTTGCGTTTAGGCCTGAGCTTGACTTCGTGTGGACAGGGCCTTATATGTTTTATTGCCGATACTAAAGCATAAATAGTTCCCCTTTAATGCATTCGTCAGACATCTTTGATCACATGTGTCAGACTTACCTCTGTTGAGAATGTTTTGGAAGACGAGCTGAGGCGTCTCGTCGTTGAAGGGGGGGATCCCTGTGAGGAACTCGAACAGACAGACTCCCAGGGCCCACCAGTCCACCATGCAGTCTGCGGAGGGAGCACCGGTCAGGGACGCAGCGACAACACCAGATCAGAGCACTGCTGTTAGAGTGCGCTACGTGTGTGTGCGGCTGTGGCAACAAGCGGGGGCCGTTAGAGAAAAGGGTGCCATGATTATGTGGTGATTACAGAACCTGCTGGACTAGAAGCGGCCACTTGTACATTTCTCCAGTGTGAGATCAATACAGTCTATCTTTTCTTATCTTACTTTCTTCAAGTGATGGTGGATTATAGAGATATGGACAATGTATGGATATGTATTTTTCCCCTGGGGTGAAGGGACAGATTCAGACCGCTAAACAGTATCTACAGCTGTTGATCTCCAGAGCTGATGACGTATCAGACATCCCTGCTTCCTGAAGTGTTTATGTGAACAGTAGAGACATGAGGAAGTGAAGGGAAACACACATAACTAGTATTTATGTGATTAGACCAGAGTTTATCGACTTATCATTTAGAATCCATCAAGTTTTATTAGCTCTAGGACGCAAGTTGAATGTTGGTTGAATTGGATTTACCGAAGTGCGTTCATGACTGGTTGTGTCTAGTTTAAATAGGCGTCCATTGTTTTTGTTTTGCTCCATCAGCTGTTGGTTAAGAGTTACTTTACAACACGTTCATCTGCGCGTCATATGTGGACAAAAATCACTGTCTTATCTTTAGCTGGAGCGGTTTGTGTTCAGGTGTGATTAATAGTCCAGCAAGTACTGTATACAATTATAGTAAGTAAGTAGTAAGTGATCTTTATTTATATACTATATATAAATAATAATAATATATTATAAAGGAGGTGGTTTTTATTGTGTTATATCAAACAATCTCCAAAACAAATAAGCCTTTTCAGCCAATAGCAAGAGAAATACCAAATAATGCTTTGCCGTTCTAACAATAGTAATAAAGAGCCAGCTTTCAAAATGCTTTTCATTTCATACAGTGATAATCCGGGACATTTAAAAAAAAAAAATTTTTAACATTGGTCATCCCACTTCCTTTGAACCAATGCCTCCTATGTGTTTGTTATTATTGTAATTCCTGTTCGATTCTCTGATCTGTTATTGGTGAATCCACAACTTTATAAAGCCCTCCGTGAAGACTGCTGTTGTACTTTGGGGCTATACACAAATACAGTACATAAGAAATATTATAAGAAATATTTAGTTGTACCATGGTTGTTTTGACAAGTAGGCTGGACTGGACTAATCATTTTACCGGTAACAAAAATGGGTAGACTCATAATCGGGAAAAGTTTGAGAACAATAGTTGGGACTATTATCACATACAGTAATAATGACTTGATTAAGTAACGTTCAAATCAACAGAAAGATTCCTATGAACAAGTCAAAGAGGATATTATTCTGATCTTATGTTCTTAAAAAAGCTGTTAGAGTAAAGTAAGCTCCCTCTTCAAATCAAAGTCTTTTCCCCATTCCCAAAGACCAAATACACCGATTCAAGACGCTGAAATGTGAGGAGGAATCAGCACATTCCCATAACGTTAGCTGCTTGGGGGAGCCATGCAAGCCTGCTGCATAAACACAGCCATGATTTAACTCACCGCCTCCAAACCTTCCTGAAACTTAAAGAGAAAACCCGTCACGTGACTTGTCTACGGTTCGCACACGCCCAGTCTTCCCTGGCCATGTCTGTGGTTTTGTGACGTCTTGCACCTTACCGTGTGGTTTCCCCAAGAGGAGTTCAGGAGCCAGATAATCCGGAGTGCCTAAAATCTGAGCCCCCTCCACTGGACCGGCCCCCCTGCGGACGCTCTTTGGGGTTCTGAACGGGGTGTGGGACGTCGACATTGGCTGAGGAGTCTTGAAAATGAAAAAAATATGAAACTTTTCAAATTAAAATTAAAACTTGTAAAGAAAGCTATAAGAAAAAACAACAATTAGGGTTAAAGGGGATACCATTTTAGGAATTATTGTTTTACATTTTTGGAGTTTGAAGGAATTTTAACCCATAAATGACCAGTGTTTTTAGGGCTATTACACAGGTGAAAATAAGAATATTGTGATTCAACTTAAAATGTGAAACCAACCTATGATGTAGACTTATTACCTGCAAAGTGACATAGACCGAGCTTTTGTTTGGGACATTTAAGGACACATATTCAAATGAACCAATGGCTTCTATGTGTCTGCTGATAATGTATTTCCCATGTTTGAACTGTTTGATTCTCTGATCTGCTGTTGGTGAATCGACAACCTTCCTCTGGGACGACTGCTGTTGTGATTTAGGGCTTTATAAAAACAAACTGAATTGGACAGAATTATAAATGTTGAGGAGTTCAGAATATAGGGCTGCACGATATATTGGGAAAAATATCGTTATGCATTCGAATCTCATAATGTTGTGCATATTTTTTGCGTTTCAATGCAGATTGCAATTTTAGGTGAAAGACAAAAATATTGCAATAATATCGTTATCACAAAATACTAAACACATACGTGGCAGGCACTAATGATGTGAATCTATATGAACATAATATCATACCCCATTTTAAAGCTCAGAAAAGCCCAAATCCAGTCAAAAACCATTTACAATCCTGGTGAGATAAAGTTTAAACCCGTTCTAGCCTCTACACAGTGCTTCCATATCCTTAAACACACCGTAAATACACATTATTCCCAAGAATGTGGTTGTGTCTGCAGTAAGATTCCCACCTGACAGAAGGAGCTAGTTCTTCTCGGTCTTTTCTGCATGGGCGTCGCGTTGAAGGAGTGGCAGGGGGCGGTCACATCCATACTGTCTACCGAGCCGATACTGAACCTGGACACTCCCGAAACGTTGGACCGATTGATGGAGCTGTGGTAGCTGCGGAAAGCCACCACGTTCCTCGGCTTCAGGAAGGAGGGAGACTGCGCTACTCCGGGCCCTGCGCCTTGAAGTCTATTGAAAAAAGACGATTGCGAGGAGCTGTTCCCCAAATGTCCCAATTTTGGCGTTTCGTTCCTAGTATCACAGGATGTTTTAGCTGGGGTCGACTCTTTGCTTGGTTTTTCATCAGAAGATTTTGAATTTCTGCGAGTGGAAATGAGGCTTGGCTTTTGAGAGGCCTGGCCGTCAGTGAGAGAATTGTCATGCATGGAACTATCGGAGACCGATTCTAAACTTAAACTTCTGCAGACGCCTCTCGCTGGTCCGACAGGAGACGTTAAGCTGGAACGAGTCAGGTTCTTCGCTCCTTCCTCAAAGACGTCCTCGTTCGGCTCCGTCAGCTCCGAGAACAGAGACTTGGCGATGGGGCTGGAGCGTTTGGGAAGACGGTCGTCGGAACAAGCCATGAAGTCGCTCAAGTTGATGGCGGTGAAGGTTCCCGTGAGTCCGGTGTGAAACGCAGTCTTCTCGTCCGGGATCTCAAAGCACCTCTTGTAGCTCGCCGTGCTCTTCTTCACTTGGACCTGGAACTCCTCTGGGCTTCGCTCCAACTGAGAGAACCTCCTCTTAACGGATGACGTGGTCGTGTCCAGGGTTTTGGTTGAACTTATGTCTGGATTTGAGGTCTGGTTTTCAGCGTTTTCTTGTTCCCGCTTGGTTTTGGGTAAGTCCTGGTCCTGTTCGAGATGTTGGGACTCTGAAATGTCCCCCTCCACAACACTTTTTTGCATGTTCTCCTTCTGAAACACAACAAACACTTTTAATTACACTCATATCAACTTTTGTGTTGTTTCTCCCAACAGAAAGAGTCCTGTGTAAAGGTGAAATGTTGTGACAAAATCAAACCACACTCGGCTGACTTATTACAGACTGAAAAGCGACTGTACAGTTTTAATTTCCAACAAAAAAACAAGTTGGTGTCTTCACCTTTGGAGACTTCTTTTGCATAACTAAGCCCCGGGAGTCACTATTTGACAATTTGAGATTGTCTAAGCAAGATTAGTTCTAAAGAGGCTAAATAAAACAGACTTAAACCAAAGTGTTTTGAGAGCGAGCAACTGATTATAGGATTTCATTACTTCATACTTTCTGTAAAATAGGTACCCCAGCTTTAAACGATTTGATGTATTTTGATCTGCTTGATGATATAGAAAACAGACTATAGAAAAACAGCCAACTTGCAAAAAAAATATACAATACAAATGCAATCATAATCTAAATGAAGTAGATGAATTAGTTCCAGTCTGAAGTACATTTGACAGTTTAGTGCAGATGACCGACCTCCTCACTCTCCCACATGGGACTGATTCCTCCTTCTGTGTCGGTGGTCCCTCCGCTCATCGTCTCAATTCTATTCCTGGTCTTGAGCAGAGATGGCGTCAGATTTGTAGCGATGTTACGTGGGTGGAACACACTTTTATGCACTGTTGAACGTCAATAGAGAACAATGTAAACATCAAAAAGATTGAAACATGGCATAAATAAAAGACATACTTTTATTCCAGGTTTGGGCAGATGGAGAAAACGGCTTCTCTGATGTTTTATACACAGGCGATCCCACAGAGTTATTTTTGGGTTTTATTTTTCCACAGGTAACAGGGCTAGACGGTGCAGATGTGCGGCAATGCTGCTTTCCTTCTCCAGATGGTGTATTCTTAGAAATGAAACAACACGACATGGATGTGAGGAGGGAACATGCAGCAGAGATGATAATACTGAGAATATTACAGAAGAACAAGTACTTACAAAACCAAGGTGGCTGATTAAAGACAGAATTTGACCAGGGGTGCGGAAATAATCTTTGCTAGGTTTTGCCAGTGATGGAGTCGTGAGAATATCCATAAGGGAAAGCTCTAATACAAGATATTCAAAACATCAAAATATGGATACTTCAAAAGACAGTCAATGCTTTTCAATGTTTGAGTTAAGTTATATTTACCTCTGTCAAGTTTGACTTTAGAAAGGCCAAAATCTGTTAATTTGATGTGTCCCTCATTGGAGATGAGCATGTTATCAGGCTTTAAATCCCTGAAATAAACAATATATATTGAAAGACAGTTAAATAATAGCTCTAGAAACAATAACATCCATAAATATAGTGTGTTTTTGGGGCTCTTTTTTTAACAAAAAAACACCCAGCACTGCTTTAAATATTGACATACATTACATTATCATTGTGTGTCATAAGTGTGAGCCATATACAGACAGACCTGTGGATAATTCCATGTCGGTGAAGATAATCCAAAGCTAGTGCCACTTCTGAAATGTATTTGATTGACATATCCTGGTCAAAATATCCATAAATGTGAAGCAAAGACTTGACATCTCCTCCAATAAGGTATTCCATTACCTTTAGGGACAAAACATCACACACATGCATGATCAAATATGACAAGTTAGAACGCTCAGTAACTTCACCGATTGTTTTTTTACCAAATAAATTTTTGAGGCCGATTGAAGAGAGTAAAACAAATGCACCACGAATGGACTTTTGCTCAGAGCCAGGGCGTCTCTCTCCGCCTTCATCTGCCCAGTCATGTTCTTGTCAACCATATCTGCCTTGCTCATGACCTAGAACAAGACCACGTGTTACATTTACCCACACATGTGTTTGAAATGACACTTTTAACCATGCTTCCCTTACCTTTATCGCATAAAGTCTTGCATTGCACTTTTTTCGGGCGAGGTACACTTTGCCAAAAGCTCCGCGGCTTATGGGTTTCAAAACGACAAAATCCTCAATAGATGGCGGCTTCGGGACCTCCACAGAGATCTCCCGAGGTGCAGGCTTCTCTTCTGTGTCCATCTTGTCGTCAGAGATGTGTGTGAAGTGTAGACTGCGGCTGCTTCAGCCCAAACACTCGCATGGTGGAACAGACATGATCGGTTTGTTTTGAATTTTGAATCCTGCCACTTTCCTGGGGTCCTCCTTCTGCATCACTTAGGCGCCCGTGAACATGCCTGCTGAAATAATAATAGTAATAATAATAATGGTAATAAATACAGTGTATGAGTAATTATAGTACTTATATGGCAGTAATGATAATATTAATTTATATAGAAATAAATGCATTCGTAATGGTATTAAATGATCAAGGTGTCTGTTTTCAGCATAGACTATGTTTTCAGATAAATGCTTGCCTACTTTAAATATATAACGCTACATTGTTATATATTCTGAACATAAGAAAAAATGACGTTTTATTTTAAATACAAATTATTTTCGCATTATGCAAGTGTGGCGTAACGCTAACTAAAATGTTATTACGTCAAATTGTAGTCCTTGTGACCTCAAGGAGAATCCATATTAGATGTTAGCTAACACAGGAAAGTTACTTAACCGGGTTTGGATACACCCAAAGCAGAAGTAGCAGTCGCTGGGATTTGATAGGGGATCTGTCCTCTTTTTATCCACCACTAACATCAGATATATTCTTTTGCAACATGTTTTCATTATCGACATCGTTTCAGCCTCAGCAGGTAAAGCTAGCTAAGTGCTAACGCCGCTAGCTAACCTTAGCACAGTGGACCTTTTCTGTGGCTAACGTCATTCGCTATCTGATGCTTATTTATCTGGACTTTAAATGTGTTTTATTATGTGTATATCTACGTGTCTTTATATTTAGGCGGAATGTAAATAGTCTTAGGGTTGGATAAATCTTAGATCATTACCAGTGACAGTTTATGTATTTATTATGTATTTACAGCAGCTAGTAAGCAAGCTGGAGAATCTGACAGGTTCCTGGGAATGTTGTTAAGACCTGCACAGTTTTAACATAATTACACAAACAAGTTTCTTAAAAGATCCATATTCCTGCCTTTGGTTACTTTATCCCGTCTGATGAGCTGTAGTTCCATAGTTTCATAATCAATTTTACGTAACGCAGATTGGTCCTCTCGTAGTAATAACAGATGGTCTATCTAAATCCTCACTACCTCATATAACACTAACTCAGGCATATGGTAAATGTTAGCGTTGTATTTTATTGTAAAGCAGCTGACTTGCATAACAGACAGGGTGACCTTAGGTGTTTGCTATTTAGAAGTAAACGAATATTTAACGGTGTCCTATCCAATGACCAAACACTGAACTGAGCGTAATAAATCTTTTTAATTACTGTTATGTGGTGTCTTTAAAATCCCATGTGTTTCAGATGGTGTTGCCACTCATCAATGCACTTCATTCGTTGAAAAATTCTGCTACTGCCTCAGTTCAGAGCCTCCACAAAGACTTCACACCTGAAAATCAATTTTATACCAAAGAGGTAACTTGGTATTCTTATATGTGATGTATGTTGTAGATTGTATAGTATATAATATATGTATGCATAATATTTAGTGTTTTTTCAAATAGTATAAAAACAAGTTAAATTGTCAGGTTAGAATACATTAGAAAACCAGTAAGTAAGTAAGTCATTTTTATTTATATACCGCCTTTCACAGACCAGAGTCACAAAGCGGTTTACAATTGTTATTATTTTTGGGCATTTGTCCTCTCACTCCACACAGAGATGGGAGCGGGGTCGCCAGTACAGGAGGCGCATGCCAGAGCTATTGTACATGTTTTTAGTGGTAGCGGAAACCGGAGTACCCGGAGGAAACCTACGCAGACACGGGGAGAACATGCAAACTCCACTCAGAAAGGCCCTGGTCCGGCCGGGATTCGAACCCAGGACCTTCTTGCTGAGAGGCGAGAGTGCTATCCACTCAGCCACCGTGCCGTTGTTGTTATTATTATTAACTGTCTTTCACTTTCATTCTGGACTTGACTTTTGATGAAGCTTATTTGTGTGTGCTTCCGACAGCCAAATATCAACCTGAGAGACCTGGGACTTACGGATATAAATGTGAGTCAGCTAGATGAGCTCGTCAGCAGATTATTGCCTGCATCACCAGAGCCTCCCGCTGCTGCTTCAACATGGAGGACCAGCCACATTTCATCTCACAGCTTCTTCCACAACAAGCATGGTCAGCACTAGCTTCAGCTTCTGTTATTTCAGAAAGCATATTTAATGTCCTTATGTCTTTTGCACTATGGTTATTTTTGATCCTCACTCGTACAATTCTCAATCATCACATGACATTTCTCTGGCAGGGTTTGCACATCAGAAAGTGGGACTATTTGGGCAGCCATTACTGCACAGACAGTATCATAGTCCTATAAGAGATTTTTGTTCAGAGCTTCACTTTCTGCCTGGTGAGACACTACAAATGATTATTAATGTATTATGTATTTACTAATTTCATTTTATTTTAACGCCAGTGTGGATTCAGAGTCGAGGCTTTAAGACTTTCCGGACCAAGGCCAGACGACTTCAGGCTGGTTACGAAGGCCCAGCAGAACCAGAGACGTACACACCAGCCTTTATGAAGGTCAGCTCTGCTCTAATTGGCAGTTTCTGTTTCCCACTGACTTGATTAACTCGAGCTAAATGTTTTTTCTGAAAATGAACTAAAACCTGTATCTTTTATGCCTTGATTATAGGGCTTTCTTCAGAGAGAAAAGGCCCCAGATGCACAGTCGATTGATGAGCTCGTGAAACACAAAGTCTTTCCAGACAACCAGCAAGATGCATTCAAGAATGGCTTTGCTGAAGGATTTATGAGATCTCAGTCCTTTACACAAAGAACACAAGGCGAGGATACGCAACAATTTATGACTCAATATCCTATAGTCTTCGATAGGTTTGATGTGGTCATACTTATCTTTTCCTCTTGTTTTGACAGACTCGCTGAGGAGAACCCGGCTGGTCCTGTTTGTTCTCCTGCTCATTGGCCTCTATGGGCTGTCTAAAACCCCATTTCTCTCGGGTAAAGGCTCGTTTTCCGACGCTGGTTTGTTTCTCTTTACTTCTTTACCATTTCTCCACTTATTTTACACTAAAACAAAGTTACCCTTTCTCTCATCCAAAAAGGAAAAGTTGTATTATTGAAATGTCATGTGCATGTACTCAGCTAGTGTTACTACAAAGATTTAGGTAAATTTAACCCTTTATATGAGGTAGTTATATCTGCCTCTTTCAAATGTCAAAAACAGTTTTGTTTAATACCCACTGTGAACTTAAGTGCTGGTCTTGATGTGTTTTTGCCAGGGCTTCTGTACTTAAATGCTCCTTTCTGTTTCGATAGTGAGGTTCCGCACCACCTCTGGTCTGGACTCTGCACTTGATCCTGTGGAGCTGAAGAATGTGACTTTTGAGCACGTCAAAGGAGTGGAGGAGGCAAAGAACGAACTGCAAGAAGTCGTTGAGTTTCTGAAAAACCCACAGAAATTCACTGTTCTGGGCGGAAAACTCCCCAAAGGTATTCCAAAACATATCGTCAAGCAGATCTATTTTAGTTTCACAGTGACAACTATTAGTGTAAATTAGTACTTTGTTATTCTGTCCCTCCTACCATACCTCACCATACCTCACCATACCAGACTATACCCAAGTTTCATTCATTTGTTTATTTATTTCAAACATGCACGAGATATGAAAACAAATATTCACAGGAACAAAAAAGAGTAAACAAGAAGACCTCTGCATGGTTTGAAAAGGGATTGGTCGAAGCAAAAACATTTAATCCAATCCCTTCCCTACCATTCAAACACATACTACTGTACAACCCTCTAACTAAACACATAATAGCCAATGACACACACACACACACACACACACACACGCACACGCACACACATAAGGACCAAGACAAGACAAGACCAAGACACTCCAACACTCATTCACACAGACCATACCCAAACCAACACTTTGCCTCTCCCCTCTCTCTCCCCTCTCCCCTCTCTCTCCTCTCTCCCCTCTCGCTCCTCTCTCTCCTCTCTCTCCTCTCCTCTCTCCCCTCTTTCCTCTCTCTCCTTTCTCTCCCCTCTCTCCTCTCTCTCTCCTCTCTCCCCTCTCTCCCCTCTCCCTCTCTCCCCCTCTCTCCCTCTCTCCCCTCTCTCTCTCTCCCCCCTCCTCCCCTCTCTCCCTCTCTCCCCTCTCTCCCCTCTCTCCCCTCTCTCCCCTCTCTCCTCTCTCTCCTCTCTCCCCTCTCTCCCCTCTCTCTCCTCTCTCCTCTCTCCCCTCTCTCCCCTCTCTCCCCTCTCTCCCCTCTCTTCTCTCTCCCCCCTCTCTCCCCTCTCTCTCCTCTCTCCCCTCTCTCCCCTCTCTCCCCTCCTCTCCTCTCTCTCCTCTCTCCCTCTCTCCCCTCTCTCCCCTCTCTCCCTCTCTCTCCTCTCCTCTCTCTCCTCTCTCCCCTCTCTCTCTCTCCCCCCTCTCTCTCTCTCTCCCTCTCTCCTCTCTCCTCCTCTCTCTCCTCTCTCCCCTCTCTCTCCTCTCTCCCCTCTCTCCCCTCTCTCTCCCTCTCTCTCCTCTCTCTCCTCTCTCCCCTCTCTCCCCTCTCTTCCCTCTCTCCTCTCTCTCCTCTCTCTCCTCTCTCTCCTCTCTCCTCTCTCTCCTCTCTCCCCTCTCTCTCCTCTCTCCCCTCTCTCCTCTCTCCCCTCTCTCCCCTCTCTCTCCTCTCTCCTCTCTCTCCTCTCTCCCCTCTCTCTCTCTCCCCCCTCTCCTCTCTCTCTCCTCTCTCTCCTCTCTCTCCTCTCTCCCCTCTCTCTCCTCTCTCTCCCCTCTCTCCCCTCTCTCTCCCCTCTCTCTCCTCTCTCTCCTCTCTCCCCTCTCTCCCCTCTCTTCCCTCTCTCCTCTCTCTCCTCTCTCTCCTCTCTCTCCTCTCTCTCCTCTCTCTCCTCTCTCCCCTCTCTCTCCTCTCTCTCCTCTCTCCCCTCTCCTCCACCCTCTCCCCCCTCTCCCCCCTCTCCCCCCTCTCCCCTCTCTCTCCCCTCCTCTCTCCCCTCTCTCTCCTCTCTCCCCTCTCTCCCCTCTCTCCCTCTCTTCTCTCTCCCCCCTCTCTCCCCTCTCTCCCCCTCTCTCCACCTCCCCCTCTCTCTCCTCTCTCTCCTCTCTCTCCTCTCTCCCCTCTCTCCTCTCTCTCCTCTCTCTCCACTCTCTCCACTCTCCCCTCTCTCCCCTCTCTCCCCTCTCTCCCCTCTCTCCCCTCTCTCCCCTCTCTCCCCTCTCTCCTCTCTCTCCCCTCTCTCCCCTCTCTCCTCTCTCTCCTCTCTCTCTCTCTCTCTCTCCTCTCTCTCTCTCTCTCCTCTCTCTCCTCTCTCTCCCCTCTCTCCCCTCTCTCCTCTCTCTCCTCTCTCTCCTCTCTCTCCTCTCTCTCCTCTCTCTCCTCTCTCTCCTCTCTCTCCTCTCTCTCTCCTCTCTCTCCTCTCTCTCCTCTCTCCCCTCTCTCCCCTCTCTCCTCTCTCTCCTCTCTCTCCTCTCTCTCCTCTCTCTCCTCTCTCTCCTCTCTCCTCTCTCTCCTCTCTCTCCCCCCTCTCCTCTCTCTCCCCCCTCTCCTCTCTCTCATCTCTCTCTCCTCTCTCTCCCCTCTCTCCCCTCTCTCCCCTCTCTCTCCTCTCTCTCCTCCCTCACTCTGGACCTTCCTCCTCAAATCTACGCAAATCCGTATTGACAATATATGTATCTCCTCAGGCATCCTCCTGGTGGGCCCCCCTGGTACTGGAAAGACCCTTTTAGCCCGAGCCGTGGCTGGAGAGGCCGATGTCCCCTTCTACTACGCCTCAGGCTCAGAGTTTGATGAGATGTTTGTGGGAGTGGGAGCAAGTCGGATCAGGAATCTCTTCAGTGAGTTCTTTTATAAGACATTCAATAAGCAAAGTTTACAATTATGCGTGTATTTTTCATGTGTTTTTGTTTTTGCAGAGGAGGCGAAAGCAAATGCGCCCTGTGTGATCTTCATCGATGAGTTGGACAGCGTTGGAGGGAAGAGAATTGAGTCACCTATGCATCCTTACTCCAGGCAAACTATCAACCAACTGCTGGCAGAAATGGATGGGTATGTCTCTTGTTCAGTTTAATTGCAGTAAAACCCCATTGGAGTACTTGTGCAAAAGTCTCCCAGTGTGCACCAGACAAGTACATACAATGAAACGGGCTAAAAAAGTACACAAAGCAATAGTCACTGTGAAACCAATCCCCAAAACGGTTTCAATAACTAAGTGCAAGACTGTTAAAGGAATAGTTCACCGTTTTTACATACTGACATATGTTCTTACCTTACCTTAGACTAGTTAATACGTACCTGTCTGGTCTTAGTCCGTGCGCTCTGTCATGCAAACGGAGCAAAAACGGGAGCACAACCGCAGCCTCCTCTGTATACTGTATAGGACCCAAAAGGTAGCTCCCGCTAGACTTCTCTCTCGCTGCTACTGTGTGTATTACAAGTCACGCTGCTTCTATTGACGGAAGTGAGCGAGAGAGAAGTCTCCGGAGAGAAGTTAGTGCGCGGACGTAGCGCTCCTCAGATTACTACGCCTCACAATATAGTACCCGTTTTATCCGCTGAGAAAATCGACTGTTACATTTCTGTGTTACTATACTTTGCAGTGTAACACGTCACGTAACTATATACATTTAATAGGGAACACTTGGAAGAGTTTGGTAGCTTCTAGCGGGAGCTACCTTTTGGGTCCTATACAGTATACAGAGGAGGCTGCGGTTGTGCTCCCGTTTTTGCTCCGTTTGCATGACAGAGCGCACGGACTAAGACCAGACAGGTACGTATTAACTAGTCTAAGGTAAGGTAAGAACATATGTCAGTATGTAAAAACGGTGAACTATTCCTTTAAAGTGCTTTGTTCAGACTGTTAGCATATGGAGATGTCTTGCTTGTTCTGCCCGAGGGAAGAAGCTGGAACATGGCTTTTCCCAAGGGCCAGAAGGTTCATTGATTAGTTGTGTGCAAGATTGATACAATTGTGGTTTTCTGTATTGTGGATATTTATTTAATTTCACTGTCTTTTGGTTAAATAATTCTCCTCATTCTTTTTATTTTTATTTTGCAGGTTTAAACCCAATGAGGGCGTCATCGTTATCGGCGCTACTAATTTTGCAGAAGCATTGGATAAGTATGTTCACAATTGATGCTTCTCTACGGTACATTTTGTCAAGCCAAAAATTTACCTTAGGTTTTTGCATTTTTTTCCCCACTCCCATTGCTGTTGTGCTCTAAAAATATGTATAATATGAAAATAACTGGTAATTTACTTTTTCAGTGCTTTAGTGAGACCAGGAAGATTTGACATGCAGGTCACTGTCCCAATCCCAGATGTGAAAGGACGGACCGAGATTCTTAACTGGTACCTCTCCAAGATCAAAGTGGACAGTGGTACGTCTTCTTCCCTTTCCACAAACCCACATTTTACATACATAGACTTTTTATCAATGGGGTTCATACACGGGAAAGAAACCAGAAATGAAACCGTGACGACACCATCCTTCACTTGTATGCGCAGCTAAACAGAACTGTTTTTAAACTGGATTTGAACGTGGTCAAAGTAGAATCCTTTCTCACATTTTTAGGTAGACTTCCAGATTTTCGCTGCATAATTATGAAACGCTGCCTCCCCCATGTTCAGTCCTGACTCTGGGCACCAGCAGGAGGCCAGTCCCTGTGCTCCTCAGTCACAGATGAACTAACTCAGACTCTCAAGAGCTGCTTTAAAACCACATGAGGCCAGTGCAGAGACCTGAGAACTGGACTAATATGATCCTGATTCATATTTGGCAACTTATTTACGGTTGCCCTGCCTTGCATCGCCCTTACCTTTTTACGGTACAATGAGAACTGCTGAGCCTATACATGTCATTCATCTGTAAATAAGTAAATACTGCAATAATGTCACTTTACTTTATCTACTTATTATATAAAAATATACTTTAAAATTATGTATACTGTACATATTATTATTTATTATTATTAATCTTTATGAAGGACGCAATACAGCATGGTCCAAAGTTAAAAAGAAAATATCCAATACACACAGTATATTGCATAATTGGGCAGAATTTTTTTTATATATTTTTTTGAAAGACTGGTATTGAAGCCTTTACAGCTAGCTAACAAACATAGCTACTACTTATTTTGTATACTCTGTGTGCTCCTACTACTTTCCTGTATGTGCGCTTCAACATTGAAATCACCCCAATCTCTAATCTTTTCTATTTCATTCATTTTGTTGACCGTATACATGTGTGAATCCATTTCCTGCCTGAATATACAGAGTTGACAATGGCTCTAAATCTCTCTGTGCTGTGTGTGTTATTCCAGCAGCGGAAGCAGAAATCATCGCCCGTGGCACCGTGGGGTTCTCGGGGGCGGATCTGGAGAACCTGGTGAACCAAGCTGCCCTGAAGGCGGCTGTGGACGGGAAAGAGATGGTGACGATGAAGGACCTGGAGTTCGCGAAAGACAAGATACTCATGGGTGAGCGCACACAGCTGCTGCTCCTGCCTCAAAGACCTACTGTTGCATTGATGAAGCAGGAACTGTTGAGAAGGACAGCCTCTTTAAACTAAGGCATATATTTGTGTTTCGTCTACAGGGCCTGAGAGGAGAAGTGTGGAAATCGACAAAAAGAATAAGACCATTACAGCTTACCATGAGTCTGGTCACGCCATAGTGGCCTACTACACCAAGGATGCAATGCCGATCAACAAAGCCACCATCATGCCCCGGGGCCCCACTCTTGGACATGTACGCAGCTCTATTTTAGACAGTTTTATAGTTTTAACTTCTGTTGCATTTGGAGAGAGATTGACCTGTGACCTGTAGGTGTCGCTGCTCCCCGAGAACGACCGCTGGAGCGAGACCCGAGCTCAGCTTCTGGCTCAGATGGACGTCAGTATGGGAGGACGAGTGGCCGAGGAGCTCATATTTGGAAATGAGTACATCACAACAGGTGCAAAGATATACAGCTGCTTTTTAAGTTTTATTCAACTTTTGTGTCTGATGTGTAATGCCGGACATGTATACCGTTTACATGAGTCTGTTTACTTACAATGAGAACATAATATGACAGAATCAGTACAAGAAAAGTGAGTTATAACAAGGCTAAATGTATAATGTTGATAATTGGCTCACAGCTGGTAAGAAAACACGGAAAAAACATCTGTATTTTAAATCAATATTAAAACAAACCAAGGCTTGGCATATACGTCTAAACCAAATTTAGTTTTCACCTTATAGGAAGACACAGAAATAAACTTTTCACCTGTATTTTATAACACATTTTGATTGGTCGCTGTGCATTGGTGGAGGGTCTATGTGTTTGCTTCTCTTGGATTGTCCCACAGTGTTGTTCTGATACATCTCCTCTGGCATTTACCACGTTTCATTGACTACAATTATAGCCTTTTGTGGGGAAAAATCAAAGGAATATGTTCTGTTTTAACACATCCACACTAAGAAATATCTGTTTGGAAACCTCCATCTATAAAACACATTTGTTATTTGCTTGCTGCTCTTGTTTGTATCTAGTTGTAAATGTTGTGCTCTTACTGCTGTCCTGTATGTGCGCTGCTACATCCACATATCCCAACTCTGGGGCATATAAAGGTCCCTTCTCTTAAATGTCAATGTTTGATCTTCAGGAGCCTCCAGTGACTTTGATGGAGCAACTAAAATAGCGAAAATGATGGTTACAAGATTTGGGATGAGTGACAAGGTAAAACATTTGTGCACGATATATTCAAACGCTCTCTTTCTATTGGTCTAATCATAAACTTGTATATTTTTCTGTCTGCAGCTTGGAGTCATGACCTACAAAGAGGTTTCCAAGCAGAGCCCTGAGACTCAAGCCGCCATCGAGCAGGAAGTCCGAGTTTTGTTAAAGGTAAGTCCTGTCTCTTGAGGACTTTTCACGCATTTTAGACTCATAAATGTTTGACAATGTGTGGTGTTTTTTAAGGATTCGTACGAGAGAGCGAAACACATCCTGAAGACCTACAAGAAGGAGCACCAAACTCTGGCCGACGCTCTGCTCCAATACGAAACGCTGGATGCTAAAGAGATCCAGAAGGTGTTGGAGGGAGGGTCTCTGGAACACTGAACCTCACATCATTTACCGACTTGTTGTAAAGTGTGTACATATATAAATATATTCTGTGAGGCCCATGGGCACAGGTCTCAGGGAGGCCTTTGCATTTACTTTATGTATCCTTCACCAAATCTACATGTCGTTCTTTTATTTGAATAGTTTTTAGACTTTTCTTTTCATGCATACAGCGTGTGTTATCGTTACTCTTGTGAGAAATAGTGGAATTTTGTTTCATTTTATTGAAAAAATACAGTCGGGTCAAAATGAAGTCCATTCTATTTCAGGCATCTTTCCTTTTTTTTTTGACTTTAGCACCCCAGACCTTAAACACATGTATCTTCAGCTTGAATGTACCATAAACGTCGGCAGGGTACATGTTCCATTGGATGTGCTTCTAGCTTATTATTTATTGAAGTGCCCGGTCGTGTCATATTCTTTCTTCACACTGAGGTTTGAACTTGAAGGCTACATCCCATAATGAACTGTAACTATGTATATATTGTGACGATTTGACTCTGTTGAATGAGAGGACTTGTTGAGGGTCGAATAAAAAGGTCTCCAAGCTGCTGCTTCTTGCCCCATTGTCTTCTCTACACAATGACTGCAGTTGTATCCAGACATTTAGCAGCTCTATCTTCACGTTCACGAGAGTGGAACAGGCTCATGGTGCTGTTATCTATTGTCCTATTGTGAGAAGGCTTCACATATGAGCTTAAAAAGGCTCGCAGGTGAAGAGAAAGGCAAAACCCTCATTGTCTGCACATGTAAAGGGTTAACTCTATGGACTAACATGGAATAATGGACGAGCAGGACAGTTCTGTTGCTGTTGTTGGAATAGGATGCAATTTTCCTGGTGGTAAGATTATTAAACTATATATTTTTGTAATAGAATTTTTAACTGTTTAATTTATATTTAGGTGAAGGGGTAGATGCTTTTTGGAGGGTGCTAATAGAAGGGAAGAACTGTGCAAGTGAGATTCCAGCAGAGAGGTTCAACTCTGCTCTGTGGTTTGATCCTGATGATGGTAAACTGGGGAAGACGCAGACCAAGAAGGCGGCTTTTATCCACGGGTGAGAACAGAGTCTGCGACTTTGAGCTATTCCTCTGTCACATTGTTTACTTCACATAACAGTGAAGGCTTTAGCCAGTTATAAAAGAGGACTTCTACATGAAGAATAGAAGTACTCAACGTATACACACAGTATTATGGCACGTTGCAGATGTAGCCTTTATTTATCCAGAATGCATTAAAAACAATAATGTAATCCACATCTAAATTACTACTTAAAATAAAACACATTTCTGTTCACTTCTATACTTTCCCAGGACCATAGTGGGAAGAATACTTTCATGTTCATTTCCAAAATACTGATTACCTGCAACACAATGTATTTCTCATGTATTCTGCCTCATGACCCATTTAGTGACTGCGCCGTGTCTTACAGTTGGTGCTCATATACACGACACGTATGAACATGTTTTCACAGCTATGTTTTTAAATAGATCACATTAATATCACTACATTAACATTTAAATGTCAGAGATTTCAACCAGTTTATTTATAGGGAAGATGCACAAGTTTCAAATGTCACCCCCCCCCCCCCCCCCCATTACAAATGTATTATATAATCGTATTCTAATATTTTAGAATATTATTATACAATAGTACAATATCTACCTGATCCAACAACATAGTCCATAGTCTATCCATTTGGATGACGGAATACTACAATGTTTGAAAATACTATTTTAAATATGTATTCTAAGTACACACATTTTTTCAGGCTGGCATCTTTACTGTGACATGCTTTCCACAGTTTTTTTTAAACTGTATGTTATTTAACAGTTTTTTGCTTTAAACTTTTTTATTTTTTGTAAGGTGACCTTGAGTGCCAATAAATGTGCTATATGAATAAAATATATAATAATAATATTATTACCATGTTTTTATATTTACCAACACTGAGAATCATCAGACTGCACATTCTCCCTCACCCGAACAACACAGACACATACAAAGCACATCTGTCTATTATATTGTTAATTTAAAAATATGACACAATCTTGATGAAATTAATTATTGAAATAAAACATTTCTCTCCTTAGATTTAATGAGTTTGACCACAAGTTTTTCGGCATCTCTGAGGCCGAAGCAAACGTCATGGACCCTCAGCAAAAGCTTCTTCTCCACTGCACCTACAGAGCCCTAGAGGATGCTGGGATGTCCATGGAGCGGTTAAGTGGAAGCCGAACTGCTGTTATCATAGGTACACAACATTCTCTTAATCTTTTTCAGCCCATAATTAAATGTAACATGTGTTTGTAATCCCTCAGGTCTTATGAACAGAGACTATGAAACTCTTAAAAGTGACATCTCTTCGACAATAAACCACTACAATGCCACGGGAACCGCAATGAGCATCACTGCCAACCGGATTTCATTCATCTTCAACCTCACCGGACCCTCTTTTGCTATTGATAGTGCATGTTCTTCATCTTTGGTGGCTTTGCACTTGGCCTGCCAGTCTTTGAAACAAGGTCCAGACAGTTTTATAGATAGACTACAATACCTTTACTATATGCTACAAATGGTTGAATATTGCGTCCATTTTCCTTCAGGGGACTGTGAGATGGCGGTCTGTGGAGGAGTTAGTTGTATCGTCGAGCCCAGAGTGTTCGTCGCTCTGAGTAAAGCGAAAATGATCTCTCCAGAAGGAATCAGCCAACCCTTTTCCACCAAAGCGGATGGATATGGCAGAGGAGAAGGCTGTGGGGTTGTGCTACTCAAGCCTCTGAAAAATGTAAGCATTATCAACAATTGTACATAATAAATATCTACTCATGTAAGCCGAGAGTAAGCTAATATGGTTAATTTACCCTATAGGCTATTCGTGATTGCAACAAAATATGGGGAGTCATAAGCAAGACGGCGGTGAACCAAGATGGCCGCCACGTTAGCCCCATCACCAAGCCTTCATTGCTGCAACAAGAGGAGCTACTTCGTCGAATCTACTCACACAAAGACATGGTGAAGGTGCAGTACATTGAAACACATGGGACTGGAACAGCGATAGGAGACACCACCGAGGCTGCTAGCATCTCAAATGTTATCGCTAAAGCTAAACCGGCTACGAAGGTGCTAAGGCTAGGCTCGGTAAAGGGCAACATCGGACACACTGAATCTGCCGCAGGAGTCGCCGCACTCATCAAGGTACTTCTTATGATGAGGCATGAAACCTTTGTACCCACTTTGTTTTTCTCCGAGGAACATTCTAGCATCGACACGAAAACTCTGAAATTGAATATTCCGACAAAAGCTGAGAGATGGGAGACAGATGGGGGTTCAGAAAGAGTTGCTGGGATTAACTGCTTTGGTTTTGGAGGGACAAATGCACATGTGATTGTAAAAGAATACAAACGCAGGTCTATTCCAACACAGAAACCAAAATGTTGTTCGAAAGTATTTGTAATTTCGGCCAAAACAGAGGAATTGCTACAAGCTAATATCAGTAACATCCAACAAAAACTCAGCTGCAACCATGATCTTGACTTGCAAGAACTGTCGTACACTTTAGCTTGTGGACGAAGTCATTCAAAGCATAAATACAGAAAATCCTGTGTCGCCACTTCCATGTCCGAGCTTCAACAACAGCTAGCAAAAAACCCAGAAGTGGAGTCAACTAAAACAGATATCCAGCTGGTTTATGTATTCTGTGGAAATGGGGTCGCGTACAGGGGCATGTGTAGTCAGCTGCTGAAAGATGAACCAATATTCAGAGAGAAGATTGCAGAAATCGAGACGCTTTTCAGGATATACAAACACGTCAACATTCAGCAGAAGCTAGCTGGTGATAATGCCCAGGAGGATTTTAGCAACCCAGAAATAGTGCAGCCGCTACTCTTTGCTCTTCAGGTGGGTATTGTGACTGTTCTAAAACAATGGGGGATTGAACCTGACATAGTTCTGGGTCATTCTGTTGGCGAGGTGGCAGCGGCTCATTGTTCTGGCCTCTTGTCTCTTGACGATGCAGTCAAAGTGATTTATCATCGCAGTGTTCTTCAGAGTGCAGTTACTGGTGGAAAAATGCTTGTTGTTGGTAATGTAGCCGTGGAAGACGTCTCAAGAGCTATTGTTGAATTCAAGGATAGTGTTTGTGTAGCCGCTTACAACAGTCCACTGTCTTGCACATTGTCAGGCGAAGAAACTGCCATAGACATTTTGCATCAGAGGTTGAGTGTCATGTTTGCGGATCAAAGTGTGTTTCTCTGTTTGTTAGCGGTCCCAGCAGCATACCACAGTCCTAAAATGGATCCTGTACTTGAGGAAATTGAGAATAACATTCACCCATTGAATACCAACACCAACAAATGCAAACTATTTTCCACATTGACGGGGAAAAGGAATTCAGTTGGACAGTTTTGCACAGGGAGCTATTGGGCAAAGAATGTGCGACAACCAGTTTTATTTGCACAAACTTTGCAGGCTGTTTTACAAGATTGTCCAGCTTCCAAAAATGTGGTATTTGTTGAGATCAGCCCTCGTAAAGCTCTTCAGAGAAGCATACTGGAGACTTTGGGAAGTAACCGAATTGTCTTGTCCAGTGTGGAGCCAGAGAATGACAGTGAAACTCTACTGTCCACTGTTGCAAAGCTATTTGAATTTGGTGTCAATGTCGACTGGCATCAAGTTCACAAGGGATATGAAACCATACCAATTGATCTTCCTGCCTATCCCTTTGAGACGACAAAGAATGGTGTGAGCTTTGAGCATTTAAGGAAAGGTTCCCAAATAGCCGGGCTCTCCCATCCTCTCATAAGCCCCGGCGACCACAGTAATTTATTTCTGTGTGACCTTTCCCTTCCGTCATATCTTTGGGAGCATAAAAACAACAGCGTGCCTATCGTACCTGGTGCACTCCATGTTGAGCTGGCTTATGCAACGATTATGGCAAGTTCAAAACCCCAAAAACAAGTATCCTCGCTCAAAGTTGCCATTGACTTTCAAAGTTTGTGCTCACTTACTTCAGACAACCTTCAGTTAAAAGTGAAACTTGATCAATCAGGAAAGCAATTTACATTCAGTATTGATTCTTCTGCTTCAACACATGCATCAGGTTCCTATGTATGGTCTGAAGAAGAGCAATGTGTAGAGGAATCATGCATTTGTCTTGAAACAATCTCTCAAAGGTGTAAATCTGAAATCACAAGCAGTCAAATGTATGCGGTTCTTGGTCAAGCAGGGTTTGAGTATGGCAAAGCTTTCAGACAGCGACGTCATGTTTACTATGGCAGTGAATACAAAGAGGCAATGGCCCCTGTGCAGGTCCCTGAGGAACTTTTAAAAGACTTCAAGGAGTACTTCATTCACCCAGTACTGCTGGACTACTTTCTGCAAATGACTGCGGTTGTAGCTATGCAGGAGATATCACTTAAGCAAGGGTTCCCAACAGCTATCAATAGCATTGTAATTACAGAACCTTTACAAAAGCAAATGCTGATGTATCTAAGAGTATCTGAAGTCAACCCTGACTTTTTGGAGGTTTGCGGATGCTTTACCAACACAGAAGGAAAAGTACTTGTTGAACTTAAAGGAGTAAGAATCTCTTTTATGAATTCTTCTGTTGTTCAGCAGTCTCTGTTTTTCCACAATGAGATTTTGTCGATTGCCTCAGAACGGCCCTCACTTACTAAGATCAAGTGCCTTCTTTTTGAGGATAAACTAGGTTTTTCCAAAGCACTGAGGCCTTTTTTGGACCTTGAGTCCATTTCTGTAGAGTTTGGCCCACAGTGGACACCGAGCAGGATAAGAAATCTAATTGTGAACTCAAATGGCTTTTTCAAAAATATCATCTTTATGTGGGCCATTGAGGATCTAAGTCACATGACATCAGAAAAGACTTTAGAAGTATTGGTTAATTGCTGTTTGTTGTTTCAACAGATTGTTTTGGCTTTGAAAGACAGTGAGCTCCCCTGTACTGTTCATGTAGTAACATTCAGATCCACTGAAGAATCAGTGAATTATATCAGCCCTGGTTTTGTTTTTCATGGACTGATAAGAGCATGCGCTGCAGAGATACCAGGTCTCACATTTCAACTTATTGATCTTGCATCTGTAACCAGTGATGATATTGAAGCTCTGATTGATGTTCTAAACACCTCCACTCAACAAGAGGTTATGATCAAACATGGGCAGATTAAAACTACAAGAATAGTTCGTACACCTGTAACAGATGTGTCTTCCTATTCAAATAATCTCCACTCTATGCACTTGAAGGACTTCTCTCTTTGGACCAGTGACCCTTACAGAATCAATAATCTGTCTGCCTATCCAAGAGACACAAGTGAAGATCTCCATCTTGAAATAGGATTTGTTGAGGTGGAAGTAACTGACATTTGTATTCACTCTGCTGATTACTTCCCCGTGAGCATGTCAGCATTTCGATTTGGCAATACCTTCTATTGGAATAAGGATGTATCATTGAACCACATGCTTCTGGCTTTGGATTTCAGTGGTGTTGTTATTGCAGTGGGAAATAATGTTCGCAGTCTTAAAGTTGGAGATCACATTGCCTCATGTTATCCAGTTGCATCTTCTTCAACGGTAAGAATTCCAGAAACAGCTTGCTTTAGTACGAGTGTATTCCCATATCTGAGGGAAACACCTTGCGTGTCAGTTTTCGTATTAGCAAGGGAGATTCTAAGACAGTTGGCAGATGTAGAAGTGCAAAGGAGAAAGTTAACCATCATATCATCAAACCCATCTTCCATCATGGTGAAAGTCTTGGCACTGATAGCAAACCGTTCAGGGTGGAGTGTGTCGTCCGGGTCTATGTGTAGTGCAGAGCATTTAGAGAGGAGCCATGCTGTTGTGTTTCTTACCCAAATGGAGAAATCTCGCATTGCAAATCTTGACAAACTTATGGACAAAACACATGTTGTTCTGGTCAGCAGTGGGTACAAGTCCTCCCCTGCATCTTTGAGTTTTTCAGCAAAGTGCAATAACATCCATGTGCATAGAGTAGACGTTACTGATGTCCTTCAAAAAGCCAGACTTCAAACCCAAAACAAAATGCTTTCAAACTGGTTGTTATCATTGGGCTTTTCCATAGAATCTCTTCCACTTAAAAGAGTAGTTATGCAACCTACAGAGTCTAAAGTGAATGATGAAAATTCTGATTCCTACTTTACGACAAATGCAATAAAGCAAGTTGTTCTTAATCCTAGACGACCTGACTTTGCAGTTTCTCTTCAACAAAAGCAAAAAACACTTTTCAAAAAACAGAGTGTTTATGTTGTGACTGGTGGCCTCTCTGGTTTAGGATGGGAGACAGTGAGGTTCATTGCTGAAAATGGAGGAGATTGCATTACCATACTGTCCAGAAGTAGTCCAACAGAAACAATGCAAATGTTGATCGAAGCACTCCAGAATAGATTCAATGTCAAAGTCTTGAATCTGCAATGCGACGTGTCAGAGTCACTGCAGGTGGACAAAGCATTCTTAAAAATCCAACAAAGATTTTCATCTTGCCCAGTCAGAGGAGTCTTCCACAGTGCTGTAGTTTTGCATGATGGTCTTATTGAAAACCTTAACCGATCACTCTTCCAGAAGGTTCTCAAGCCCAAAGTCTGCGGTGCTCTGAACCTCCATTATGCCACACTCCAGTACAAGTTAGATTACTTTGTGTGCTACTCCTCTGTGTCCTCGTTCATTGGAAATGCTTCGCAGTGTAATTATGCAGCTGCTAACTCTTTTCTGGATGTGTTTTGTCAGTATAGGCGGAATCTTGGACTTGTTGGACAGTCCATTAACTGGGGTCCATTAAACCTTGGTCTTTTACTCAACAAAGACCATTTCCAGAAGTTCCTGATGACTAAGGGGTTGATGGTCATGAATATCTGCGAAGTGCATGAATCGCTGAAAATGTGCCTTTTGATCGACAGGGTTCAACAAATGATTTGCAAGTTCAATTTTCAGAATCTTCATCATCATGTTCTTTCCCAGAATGCGTTTCTTAGACAGCGGCTGTCTGCATTGGTGCAAACGGAACTCAAAGATGAAACTGAAGCCGCTGTTAGATATAGTGCCTCAACCCAAACGAGTGTGAGACAGATAGTGAGCGATCTGATCCACATCAGAGTAGATGAGATGAACGACGACACGGCTCTCTGCGCTTTAGGCATCGACTCAATGTTAGCCATGACTTTGCAAAACAAGGTTTTCCAAGAAACAGGTGTCAATGTGCCTCTTGTCCAAATATTAGACCCCAAATGTACAGTGACAAGCCTGGCAACAGCTGTTGTGTGAAAGTACAGCAAGAGTGTAATAAGTGTCATTTCAATTTATGGCATTTTTTGTCACTGTCCGGACAATCTTGATGAAGACTGACGACATCTATGTAATGCTTTCACATTTAACGATTTTCTTTTATGTAACTGTAAAACTTTGTCGTATCAACTGTTAAATACATGTTATCACATTTTTATGTTTTACTCAATAAAGGATTTTCAAACATTCTCTTGTATTTACCTTTACCTTTTTGTTGCTAACAAGAAAAATCACTATTGCTGCTACTGCGACAGAATCATCTGATTTACAAGCAACTTTGTGGAACTGCCAAGAATTGTTTACTTGAAAGTGAAATACAGTATTCTTGTGGAAAAGCAATCTTTAATCATTGATCAATAGTAATTATTGATTTAATTCACAAGAAAACACTTCTTTATTAATCAACCAATTTAATCAGATAAAAAAATAACTTGAGTTAAAAAAAAAAGTAAATGGAAAAAGACACAAACAACATTTAAAACATTTTACTAAAATATCAGCACATTCAGAGCTTTACACATCATTTATTTTGGTAAGAATGTAAGTTTTTCATACAAATAGAGACAAAGAATTAGACATATCCATATTATATACAATATACAGTACATATTACAATTTGGCTTTATGGAGAAAAAATGAATGAAGGCACACTGATTCATGCTGTGTAAAGTTTTTACAGCCTGGTCACGTTTTCATCTTTTTGCCATGCTGACAAAGTCTCACAGATTTCCCCTTCATTTCCTTCAGTAAGTATGTCAACTACTGTACTGATTGTTGCATTTGGATTAAGTAACTTCACCAACGGCACAATGAGGCCTCTCTGCTGAAAGATCAGATTCTGCAGCGTCATTGCCTGCATCGAGTCAATCCCTAGTGACGAAAGAGGCGAGTCGTCTCTGAGCTCACTCTGGTCTACGCCAATGGTCTCACTAAGAAGAGATCGCACATATTCTTTTGATGAGACCAAATCTACTGGTTTCCCTTCTTCTTCCATGTCTTTGTTTTTTTGAAATGCCTCCTCAACTAATGCAGACAACCTCGCAGTTAAGGCAGGATTTTGGGAAAGTATATTGTACCTGATGTTTCTGAAGTGGAACCTACAGACAGCCTGTTGAGGTTGGTTTAAAATGAGACATTGCTCCAGGCTCTTGTAAATCTCGCCTTTGTTCAAGACCATGATTCCCTTTGCTTCTAAAAATCTCTGAAAATGATCTTTGTTCAAGAGAAGGCCAAGATTTAGTGCTCCCCAATTGATCGACTGAGAAGGTAAGCCTAGTGTTCGTCTGTAATGACAGAATAGATCAAGGAATGTGTTGGCAGCAGCATAATTGGTCTGCGATGGGTTTCCTAAAAATGCTGAGATGGATGAGTAGCACACAAAGTAATCTAAGGGACAGTGTTTTGTGGCATTGTGTAAATTGAGAGCACCAAGGACTTTGGGCTTGAAAACATTCTCGTACAAAGATTGGTTCAGTGTTTCTATCAGCCCGTCATGCAAGACGACTGCACTGTGAAATACTCCTCTGATTGGACAGTCAGAAAATGTCGTCTCTATCGAATGTATGGCCTTTTCTACATGTTCAGCCACCGATATGTCACACACAAGGCTTATGATGCAGTTTCGACACTGATTTTTAATGTTGTTGAGGTCATTCTGCACTTTGGGGGATGGCTTTCTTCGGGAAAGTATGGCAACTATTCCACCACCCCTTTGTGAGATGAACTTGACGGTTTCATAGCCAAGTCCAGTGAGACCTCCTGCCACTATGTACACAGCCCTTTTTCCAAAGAGCTTTTTCTTTGATGGCAACTGTGGAATTTGAGACTCTTTTACAAGTTCTATGACACCAATATTAGAAGTGTTGAAGTATGACTGGGGTTTGTCTGAGCCAGTCATTTGGAAGATTTTTGATCCATAACTTTGGAAAGTAAAGCTTTCTATCCAGATCCTTTTGCTGAAATTCAGTGACTTAAGCCACTGCAAAATCTTTGGCCTCCGAGCAGACATGGAGCTCTTTTGTAGAATGGTTGACATTTGTCTTGTCTGCACATGAACTCGATCGTTTAAACCTTGCAGGTCAATGGCTGCAGGAATAAACTGTGACTCACAGATTATGATGACATGTCGGACTTTGGGAAAGTTATGAATCTTTACTATTTGTAACTCATGAAATGGTGGTAGGAAAACAAAAGCATCAAACTTTTTCACATCAACAAAAGAGCCGTTGAACTGTGTACCAACAACAACAGAATGACCAGACTGTTTCAAAGCAAAGGTTAAGACTTTAATGAGAACGGAATCCACCACAGAGCAAATGATTCCTATGTGATGTTTACCTTTCGGTAAGGCTTTGTGTATTATCTCCCAAGCAAGCACAAAAAAAGAAACACAAGGTGTTTTCTGAAGAAATGCTAACCGTTTGGTGCTATAGCACAGATCTTCTTTAACTCTGACTTTGCTTCCTGCCGTGACTGGAAAACAACAAGCAACTTGATCGCCAACCTTAAGTTTCTTGACTCTGTCTCCCACTGCGGTGATGGTGCCACTAAAATCAAGAGCCATCATTTCATGTGTCTGGTTTGATTGCTGGTTCCAGTAAAGTGTCTTTCCATATTTTAGATGTGAACTACTTACAGGAAAGTAATCAGATGAATGCACACAAATGTTGGAAAGTTGAATTTCAACATAAGCATCCCTTAGCTGGACTTCATCATAACTATGGACTGCACTCACATCTGTTATTCTAAACGCATTAGATGTATGAAAAATGCAATCTTCAGACAATGAAGAAAAGATGGGCATTTTATCATCACATGTTTGAGGTGGGGTACGGACAATAGAGGGTTTCAGAACTCGTCCATCTTTGACGACCAGTTCTGGGTGCTTGCAACATGGAAATGACCACAGAATTTGAGAAAGAGTCGCAATATCTGCAACAGAGGCACTACTGAGGTCAATCAGCTGAAAAGACAGGTCTGATATTTCTGCTGACAAGCATCTTGTCATACCAGAGATGGCAAAGCCAGTGCTGATCTGATCAACAGTGATGTCTGATGCGCGGTAAGTCACTGCTCTAATGGAATTTGGAAAGTTTATTTTCTTCAGCTCAAGAACAATCCTTCGGAAAATCTCACAGCATTTCGATAAATGTTGCACAATAGAATCAGGTGCATGATTTGTAATATTTTCCATCCCCCATAAATACAACACTTCATCAAAGTCTGTAATTTTGGTTTTTATTTTCAGATCATCCAAAAGAGAAGGAAAACCATGTGTCAAGATGTGTTCTGCATGTGCTATAGGAACATAGCAAGACCTTGAATCCAAGTGTTGGTGTAGACCTTTGGAGATACCCAGTGAGTCAGAGAAGACCAATGCTTGTGGTGGCTGTGCAGATGGATCACATTCAGTAATGACATTAAGAGCATTGTGATAGAAGTACTCCTCAACTACATGAGAATGACTGCCAAGGTACTTTATAATAACATTCTTAACTTCAACTAAAACCTTTCCATCTTTATCTGCGAGACAACCACAAACCTCAAAGTAGTCTGTCCCTATGTCAGTTGCTCTCAGATATACAACCATCTCTTCTTCTAAGGGCTCCAACACTATCAGTCTGCCTATTTTAGTGGGGAAGCCTGGTCTTCCTTCAAAAATGTGCCCCACTGTCATTGGAAGAAGTTGCATGAGATAATCCAAGACCACTGGATGGATGCAGTAATCGTGCAATTGAGGTCGTAACACCTCTGGAACGGTCACAACTGAAAAAACCTCTTTAAGATCTTCTCCATAGTAAACATTGGCTTTATTTTGGAAGACATCTCCGTACTTGAAACCTCCAGCTAAAAGGCAACCATAAAATTCTTCATAGCCAACTACAGAGGTGCACCTTTGGTAAATTGACTGAAGCGAAATGTTTTGCTCGTCAGTTAACTTCTCTTTGCTTGAAACTATTGTGCCCGATGCAAACACAGCACACTGGGAGAAAACTGTGAAACCTGTTCCTGTTTCAGTTTGATTAAGTTGGACCTGGATTTCTGGGGTGTTTGGCAATAAAACAAAAGGGCTGTGAAAGTTTACAGTGAGCTGGAGTGATTTAAGTGTGACCTTTGGTTTGGCACTAGCCATGAACACTGCCAAACCCAACTCTGCATAGAACGAACCTGGAATGATCGGTACATCATTGTGCCTGTGCTCTTTCAAGTAAAACAAAAAGTCTGACGTGAGGTTGGAAGTAAAAACATTGCTTTCACTTCCTTTCTTACAGAGCACAGGATGATTACTGAGAGTATTTTCCTGAGCTGCGCCAATGACAACGTCTCTATCTGAGGTGTCGAACTGGTACTTTGGGAAATCTAGTGGCACGGTCTCATACCCTTTGTAAAATGTGTCCCAGTCTACCTGAATTCCTTGTTCAAACAAAGCTGAGACCACAGATGCAGATGTTTTGTGATCTTTGCCTGGTTGTGCTGACACCAGAACAGCAGCATCACTTCCGAGTGTCTCCATGATATTTCTCTGTAAGGCTCTTCTTGGTCCTATTTCTAGAAACACTGTGTTCTTTTTACCCTTGGTGGAAGATCTTATTGCTTGCTCAAAAGCGACCGGCTGCCGAATATTTTTTGCCCAATAGTCCCCTGAACTAAAGTCACCCTCTTGCACCTCTTTTCCCGTCACTGAAGAGAACAGCTCAATCTCAACTGTATTGACTTTTAAAGGGCCTATTTTCTCTTTAACTGGATCAAGGATTGGATCCATCAAATGACTGTGGTAAGCTGCTGAGTCATCTAGCACATGGAGAAACAGTTTTTGGCTTTCATCTGAGGTACTTAAGTCTCTATGAAATGCTTCAATTGAATCTGCATCTCCTGAAAGAGTGCAAGAGACAGGGCTGTTGCTAGCAGCAAGGGATATTTTACCTGAATACTGTGAAAGAAGAGGTGTCAAATCAGATACGGGCATATTACTAACAACAAGCATTTTTCCACCGGTTACCGTGCTCTGTAAACTACTACGGTAAAAGATCACCTTTACTGCATCTTCAAGAGATAGAAGTCCAGAGCAATGAGCGGCAGCAACCTCACCAACCGAATGACCCAAAATAGCATCCGGCTTCACACCCCAGTGTCTGAAGAGAGCATAGAGGCTAACCTGGATCGCAAAAAGAAGAGGTTGGACAATATCTGGTTTGCTGAAATCTCCACTCTCCTCCTCAAGCGTTTCCAAGACGTTCAAAGGACTCAACTTTTGCAAAAGCTCTGTGATTTCAGAAATCTTTTGTCTAAAAACAGGCTCACATGCTAGCAGCTGCTTGCACATTCCATGGTAGGTGACGCCATTTCCGCAAAAGACAAATACTAGTCTTGAATCCAAAACCGAGGGGCGAACTACTCTGCTAATGTTGGCCTTTAGCTTCTCTTTGAGCTCAGATATGTGTGAAACCATGACTGCCTTTCTGTATTTGTGCTTTTGATGGCTACGTCGACAAGCACAAGTATACAAAAGACAATCAAGATCAACATGGCTATCTGCATCTAGCCGTTTAACCGTGTCCTCCTTCATCAAGGTGAGAGATCTTTGTGAATTCGCAGACAAGACAAAACATCTCAGCTGGTTCATTACCTGATTATTCTTTGGTGTAATGCCTGTTTGTTTGTAGTCTTTAACAATGGCATGGGCATTGGTTCCCCCAAAACCAAAATTGTTTATCCCAGCCACCTTGTTTCCTTTCGGTTCCCACTTCTCTACTTCTTTGGGCACTTTGATGTTCAGAGCCTTGGCATCTACACTGGCTGTCTCTTCAGAATAAAACACAGAAGGCACTATAGTCTTGTGTTTCATCATTAGCAGTACCTTGATGAGTCCGGCAACCCCCGCTGCCGATTCAGTGTGACCGATGTTGCTTTTAACCGAACCTATACAAAGGGTGTCGATATGGTGAGGTCTGGATTTAGCAATGATGTTGGAGATGCTTCTGGCCTCAGTTGGATCTCCTATTGGTGTTCCTGTCCCATGTGCTTCGATGTATTGAACATTTACCAGATCAGTCGCTGTGTAGATTTGCCGGAGCAGCTGTTCTTGTTGCGACATTGAAGGTTTGGTGATTGGGCTAACGGAGTGGCCGTCTTGGTTTACTGCTGTTTTGCTGATTATGCCCCATATGTAGTCATGGTCCTCTAATGCCTGCAAAGAAAAATTGACAGAATATGTTATTACTATACAGTATCTCTCCACGATGTCATAATCTAGGGGTGTCAATATGGTTCCAGAAAGGACCGGTGTGGCTGCAGGTTTTAATTCCAAGCAAGACTCACCAGACTCCACCCATTTCCTCAAATTGTCAGGTTCAGACTGGACTCACTTGAGGAAATGGGTGGTCTGGTGTGCTCCTGCTTGGTTGGCCTTTTGAGGACCAGTTTGGCTAATGAAAGAAAGTTCATGGAAGTCTTCATTGACAAACCTACCTTTTTTAGCGGCTTGAGCAGAACTACCCCGCAGCCCTCGCCTCTGCCATAGCCATTTGCTTTGTTGGAGAAGGGTTTGCTGGAGCCATCAGGAGAGATCATCTTGGCTTTACTCAGAGCCACAAACACTCTTGGCTCGAGGATGACACTAACCCCTCCACACACGGCCATCTCACAGTCTCCTGAAAATATGTAACAATAAACGTAGATTCACCCAATTGGAAATGTATTACCAAAGATGGCTGCAGAAAGCCTTGTTATTGATCCTTTGCACTTCTTTTTAAATGTGACGTGTGCAAAATCTGAGTGCTCTTAAATCTACTTTTATTCTGCTGAAATGTGGGCAACGATGACATTGAAATTTCCCCACCGAGGGATGAATAAAGTATCTTGGGTCTAAAACTATGAATGAACGAAACAGATCCTTTCAGGTCAGAAATATTGAATTGATGGAATCTCACTAAAATTAGATGATGCCTTTTATGTTTTTTATATTTAACTTTTATATTTTTACTCTGCATTCCCGGCCAAATATGAATTACGGGAAATGTTTCGAACTATAAACCAGGTCAAGGCATTGGTGAATAAAAAAGTGCTCAAACCTCAAAACAACACAGTGTTACATGCATAAACTAAGAAAGTGAAAAAACTGCATCTTATTTTAGCTTTGACAAATGATAATGATGATAAATGAGTTTGCTTCCATTTAAAAAGATAGATAGATAGATAAAAAGAAGCTAATCACTTTTACGCATGAGCACAAGGCCCTAAACATGGTGCAGAGAAGGCTAGATTAAGACAGCATTGACCTTGTCTGATGGCCTGACATGCCAAATGTAGAGCCACCAGAGAAGAGGAGCAGGCGGAGTCTATGGTCAGGGAGGGTCCGGTGAAGTTGAAGATGTAGGACACTCTGTTTGCTGCTATACTCATGGCCAGTCCAGTCCCGGTCCAGTGGTTGATCACACTGGGGTGAACGTGGCTGGCATTGGTCTCGTAATCTCTGTTCATTAGACCTTGAAGGAATTGCATAAATATTTATCATATGCATATATATTTCACATGTTCATACATAATTACCGTACTTTCTGGACTACTAGGCACACCTGTGTATAATCCGCACCATTTGAAAGGAAAGTATATTTTGTTCATATTTAGGCTGCACTTGAATATAAGCCACAGATTTTAATGTTGTGATGTAGCAGATGAACGACTGTTTTAACTGATCTCAACCTGATTTAATGACGAGGTGTTTTAGCAGCTTAAACCTTCCTCATTCACTCATTTGCTTTCATCTTTTTAGACAATAAACAAGTATTCTATAGCTACAAATTCCTGATTGGTTTAAGTCCATAAAGCTCAAGACAAAAACACATATTAGCCGCATCGCCATATAAGCTGCAGGAATCAAAGAACTAGAAAAACATTGCAGTTTATAGTCCAGAAATTACGGTATAATTAAAGCAAACAACAAACAGCAAACAGTAATTGTGAATTAAACAGTTTAGCATCTAACCAGTATGCGCTAGTATCGGATATCATTTGCAAGTCAGAATAATATATAAGTGAGACTGTACAAAGCAGTTATTACTACTATATATACATGAGTTAATTATTTATGAATATGCACAGTTCTTATTCAAATCAAGCAAGAATAGGCTGTGTGTTTCTTGGTACATACAAGATATCTGTTATTAAAGCTGAAGTATTGAAGCATGGATAAAAACATGTGCGTACCGAAGAAGACTCCGGTCCTGGTGCCACTGGCCTTCTCCAGAGGAAGCCCAGCGTTCTCCAGGGCCCGATACACACACTGCAGCAGCTGCTTCTGCTGCGGGTCCATCTGCTCCACCTCACTGTCACTGATCCCAAACAACCTGTGGTCAAACTCATTGAAGCTGCAAAAAGAAGTCAGACGATAAGATTCATATTTGAGCTTTGATAAATGGAAGTGAATCAGGATTACTGCGGATTATACCCCTCAATGAGCGCAGCTTTGAAGGTCCGCGACTTTCCCGGCTTGTTTTCATCTGCGTCGTACCAGGGGCCCATGTCAAACCTCTCTCTGGGAATAGGCACCACACAGTTCCTGCCCTCCAACAAGACCTTCCAGAAATTGTCCAGGCCTTCACCTATAATGACAGGAGAACAGTGGAACACAGTGATATTAACCGTTACACAAAAAAAGTACATGCATTTTTGTGTAAAGGTTGTTATAATTATTCATTCATTCATATATCCTGTTTATTGTCCATTTCTGGGTCGGGGGGTGGTTATCGAAGCCGTCATCCCATTCTCTCACTCATACCAGCCTCTCACTGGGTTAGTGCAGGTGGTGGGTCTATCTATAGAGTATGGCTGCAGTCTTTCAGCTTGGGTTTCAGGAAAAGTGGGGTTCAGTGTCTTGCTCAGGGACACAACGTTTCAGATTGACGCAGCTAAAATCTGGAACAGTCTTCCTGAAAATGTGAGACAGGCTTCTACTCAGACAATGTTAAAATCCAAGTTAAACAGTTGTGTTTAGCTGTGCATACAACTGAAGGACTGTATCTTCTTCTTCCTATTTTTTATGTACAATTATTTATGATGATGTATTATAATGCCTTGTGTGTTTTGAATATGGTTGTTTTGTTAATCACTTTGAGTTGCCCTTGCCACTTTTATTCAGTGGGAGTAAATGGAGAAACCCACGAGCATTTGGTCCGAAGAATACTTCACCAACTGAGTCCCTGGTGTTAATAAGGATAACAATTCAATAAGACAAATAAACAAGAAAAATGACCTCTCAGACAAAAACAGCAGCATCTACGTTAACAAAAAGTCACAGCCAAATTTAAGTCTACGTCACTTACCCCCAGGAAAGTTGCATCCTATTCCCACCACCGCAATATCCTTCTCTTGGTCCATCTCCGTGTCTGACGTCTGTGAATCGCTTCTGCTGGGCCTGAACCATAGGCTGTAACCTGTGGTCCCGGCTGAGTGACACCTGTGGTCCCGGCTGAGTGACTTAGAGCTCTCCCATCTCACATCACAGCAGACTTGACCCCTTCGATCTTATCTTCTGCCCTGCCGCCCATTCTTATACCCCCCTACTTCTGCAAATTAAACATTCATGAGCGAGTGTGTATGGATAATGGGCATCTTTAGTGCACATTGTGGTGTAGGCTGTGTGTCAGACTGAACACGGATGTAATGGAAAACTTTATTAATTGCATAGTTTCTAGAGGCTTGGGACTCTCTGTAATTTCTTTATGGTCACTCATCGGGAGTAACAACACTCCCCAAACTGTTCTACAGTGTATATGCATTTATCAATACAATGTCAAGTGACCGGTTCTCTTGACAAACTTAAATAAAAGCCTTGTGAAAACCCATTGGCACTGGCTCCATTGATTGTAATGTGTGATGCATTTTTTGTGCATACAACTGAAGGATTGTATCTTTGCTTATTCTATTGCACTGTGATTCATTGCGATAGGATTGTCTATTTTCTTGTGTATGATGAATGAACTGATATACAGTACAAATAAACTTGCCAAAACTTTCCTTGCCACCTATATTTAATAATTCACGCCTTGATTGTAGACAACTCAAGGTTCTTTTCTCCTAATATTTCCCCTCTTGATACAGAAAATCCACTTCTCACACATTTGGTCTCAGTTTGACAATCATGAGTCCAGGGCAGTGTGTTAATACAACAGTGTAATGTATCCGTTAGCAACACTTATGATAAGATCGGTCCACATTGCATCACACATGACAAATGTAGGTGTGTTTGGCAATCATTCCTCCATCAGTTAATACAAGGTCAGACATGATAAATGGAAAAACCAAAGCTTAAAGTTTGCAGAAATACGTTGAGGGTTGGTCATTATTGCAAAGGTTAAGTTTTTCTTTGGATGGAGGCTGTCAGACCGTTTGTAATCTCTTTGAGCCAGCTCTGAGGTGAGGGAGTAAACAAAACCCAGATGGAAAAATGTCATTTAATTAACTTTTATTTTCAAGAGATGAGAGCAAGAGGCAAAAGTTTTTGGTTGTGTGAACAAAATGGACAAAGTCAAACCATCGGCAAAATTAAAGTGAACCAGACCTGGTCCAGTTAAAGTGGACCAGTTAAAATGTGAGTCGCTACCTTCACATATTTCCAATCCACCTTTGATGAGTAAAAAGTTTACATTACATTAAAACAATCCCATGATCAGTGTTGAACAGAGACAGTCCTCGAGGTCACACATGTTTATTCTATAAAAACATCAGCTGCGAATCCTTGGCCTGGATTCTGGAGAATACAATATTTACAGTTTATGGAGGACACATGAACACATTTACTTAGCTTTTTAAATAAAGGAACCGTTGAGCTAATACAAAACTTTCTCTTGGTCTGTCGTCACAGTACACAATCAGCTCATTCTGCAAAAAATAACTTCTATCAATTCTATTACACTAT